AGAAAGGCAGTTCCTGATGGTCCCCTCCTCAGGGGCTGGCTTTCCTCTGGTCCTTCCTTCCCAATGACCACGTTTTCATCAAGACCACATCCCTGGGCTCTGCACCGACACCTCCAATACCAGGCTGCCTGGAGATCCATCGGTGGCCTTCCGGACCATGGAGCCCTCCCCAGCACTGCTGCCTGGAATGCTAGTCTGCTATTCAGCTAGGCTGGCTAGGATAACAGGGTTCTGCAGCTGAACTAGGGAGCCAGAGCTGCCCCTATCAGTGTTGCTGCCAGTAGCCAGGTAGGGAGGATTGAAGTGGGCCAAGGCTGAGAGTGCAGGCCTCCTCTGACACCCTAGAACAGTGTGTTCCCAGTGGGCAGCCCTCAGAAGAGCCCTCTGCCATGGTAGGCCTTAGGGACCCTGGACTCTGAGCTAGTGGGATTCCAGCAGGGACTGGCTAGCAGGGCCAGTGACCACAGATTGGCAGGTTATCATGTCTGGGGAAGACTGGCTCTCCTAGGGTGAGAACGCTTTCGTTCTCTGAGAATGCGGTGGGTGCCAGGATCTCCCATTTGCAGCACCTGGCAAGTGAGACTTCTGGGGCCCTCACAAGGCCCAGCATGCTTCTCATTTCCCTGCACTGCCTTTTGGATGATTCTGTTGATCCATCTCATCAGCTGTGTTCAATAAGCTTTTTTGGGGGTGGTTTGTGTTTAGATATCCCCCCAAAGCCTCATGCTAATGAGGTGGGACTTTCTTTTTCAGAAGTAGTTTAATCTAGAATGTGTGATGCTGGGGTTAAGGGTTTGTGATTACTAAACCACTACATGTAAGGGATTAGTTTGGCACCGCCCTAATCCCCAGTAGCCTGAATAAGATAAAAGGGGCAGAAAGATGCCGATACCTCTCTCTTGTTAGCTTTGTTGCCTTGTGTGCACCTTGATGTTTCTGCTCTGCCATGCCTTTCTATCATCCCTGCCTTGGAGTCTGCTGATTACGGACTGAAACTTCTGCGAACTGTAAGCCAAATAAACCCCTTCCCTTTTAACTATGGGTGTCGGGTATTTTGTCTCAGCAATGAGAGAAAAGTAACTAACACAGGGCAGGTCTGGGATGAACCCAGGGCCTTGTGCATGTTAGGCAAGTGCTCTACCACTGAGTTATATCCCCAGCCCTTTTAAAAATTTTGAGACAGGATTTCACTAAGTTGCCCAGGCATGTGCTACAGTACCTGGCTTCCAATCTGCATTGCTGTTTAGTGCCTCATTAAAAAAAAAAAAGTAGGGCCTAGGATTTAGCTCAGTGGTTCTGGTGCCTGCTTTGAAAGCACAAGGTCCTGAGTTCTTTCCCCTGTACCAAAAAAAGAAAAGCCAGGGCTTTAGCTCAGTGGCATTGCTCTTGCCTTGCAAACACAAGGTCCTGAGTTTGATCCCTGGTACCCCACCACCACCCACAAAAATCACTTCTGACCTTTAGCTTGTGGTTCCTATAGCTCTTATTTCTTGAAGAACTTCTAAGAGCTCCTTTTGGTGCTTTGTAAACTTTGTTTTTGTTTGTTTTCGGTTTTTTTTTTTTTGGTACCAGGGATTGAACTGGGGCCTTGTGCTTCCAAGGCAGGCGCTGGAACCACTGAGCTAAATCCCTGGCCCTGTAAACTGTTTTACCATCATTTCCTTTATCCTACAGATTTTTCAGCTGTTTTTTTTTGGCGAGGGTGGGGGATGGTTCTCTGATACATGATATATGTGTAGACCTCTTTCTGCTGGTCCTTTTTCCTGGCACCGGTTTCCAAAGGCACTACCTGTTTGAGGATCCCTGGCCCCCCATTGTGAACCTGGCTGTCATCCACAGAAGGCTGTGTATCACAACTTCTTAGGAACTTTCCCCATACTTTTGCACAATGTCCCTATAGCCCCTGGGAGTGGCTGTGGATGTAGGTCACCTTTGCTTACCCTGGGAGTGTAGGGTTACAACCTAACTTAAGGAAGGGACTCTTCTTAAATTCCCCATCTTGGCAAGGGGTCTTGGTCCTTGTCTTCTGTGTCCTTCTCCTGTAAGGCCACCAGAACTCAAGCCCAAATTTGCCCCAATGGGTGGATTCTCTGGGGCAAAAATAGCCGCTGTGCTCTGCTGTTCTGTCCGGATCCCTGCATTCTCTGAGATGTTGGCCAAGTCCTGGGTGATCTTGTCAGTTCTTAGCTGGTTTTCAGACATTTTCATATTTTTTCGAGTATTTTATTTATTCATTTATTTGTACTGAGGATTGGACCCAGGGCCTTGAGTATGTAGGTGAATGCTTTGTCACTAAGCACTCCCCCCCCCGCAGCCCTTTCTTTGTTTTGACTAAGAGGGTTGGCCCAGTCACTTTCCACCAGTACTAGAGCCATAAATTACCCCTGGGATGACGGGGCAGTCATCCTTGGGTGCCCCAAGGAAATCATCCTTGGGTAATCATCCTACTGGGGCACCCAAGGAGGGGGACCCAGTCCACTTCTGACCTCTGACCTCTCCTACACAGCCCTTTTGAATTGGGCATCCCTTTGACTCACCATCCCACAAGAGGTAATGGATGCCTGACAGTGCATGCTTGTCTTCAAGGACTGCACATCCCCTATCAACCTGTGCTTCTGCAGATGGTCTCATCACCACAGTGTTGTCTCACTTGCACAGCCACCAGCTCTTTCCTAGGGCAAAGGATTGGTTCCCAATGGCCATCATCCATTCCTGTGGGGTCCTGGCACACAGTAGACACCAAGGAGGAAGGATATGTGGGTAGGTGGAGGAGGACTAGAGTCCCTGAGCCCAGTCCTGGGTGGAGGGGAGGTCATTTAGGTCCAGTTGGGCATGGGTCCTTTGGTGGTCTCAGTGTGTGGTCTGTGTGGGCTGGTAGGGACACAGTAGCAGAAAAGTATTCATGGATGGAGTAGTGATTCCTTTGTGTCCTCTCCCCTGAACCAGGCCAGTGAGTGGGGGAACATGGAACATGGTGGTAGTGTCCTGGAAAGGTTCCATGAGGTTGGCAGGTTCCCTGTGGATGGAAATACCTTGTTGTGTGAGTGCTGAGATGCAGAGTCTAGAAAGGTTTCATTTCAGAGACCCATGAATCAGGGGCCATCGATATTGGAGAGCTCTCACTGTTCCCAGAGTCCTGGTGGGTGTCAGAGGCTCCTAGACTGAAACAGTGAGCTGGAGCCTTCCTCAGCCTATACCTGTTGCTTATATACCTATAGACAGGCTTTGGTGGCTCTTGCCCAGGAAGATGCTCTCGGCAGTAGGGCCTCCTGCTCGGAGGCCCACCCATGACCTGTTGAGATGTGGAGTCAGCATGGGCTAGGCTTGGACATCTCACCCTGGCCTTCTGCCTCAGCAAGATACATAGAGGGCCTGAAACACACTCACACTAGCACCTTCGTTTGAAGGCACATTCCTAGCGCATGTCCCTGCTGCTGTGAGTGTACAAAGCTTCTCAGGTGAGGGGGCATAATGCCCTGCTTTGGGGTACTGGAACCAAGATGAAGTCTTATGGGGAGAACTTGGCACTGTTGGAGAGGAGGGCTTGTTGCCCACTGGCTCCAGCTACATGTCATTCTTATTCTTACTGCTGCCCCCGCCCCCCGCGCCGTACCCACTCACAATTCCCCCTGCCAGTGAGCATTGTAGGTCCAGAGTCAGTGAGTGTTGTGGGTGGCAGACTGCCCAGTACAGATGAATGTGCAGGTGAAGGGAGAGGTTTGTCTATTGCTGGCAAGAATGCAATTCTCGCCCATCTATCCCTGCTCACTGGTGGTTCTGTTCTGGGCTGTTGTAGGTTCTTTCTGCCATTTGCTGACTGCTGTTTATTCAACTCGTTCTTTTCCTTTTCCCTCAGACTTTGTGACCCTGTGTGAGCAAAGCTACCCCTTGCAAACCATGTGCATCATCTTCTTTAAGTTTGATCCTCGCCCTGTTTCCAAAAATGCATACAGGTAACCCCCTTGCCCTGCATCTGCCGTGCTCTGCTGGGTCTGGGGTGCGGGTTTATTCTCACTTCACTTGGACACCATATCCAAGAGAGGTAAGGGCAGGCCCCAGGGCATGTGGGCTAGGCCCTGGATGGCCAGTCCCAGTGGCAGGGTCTCACTAAGTTGCCTAAGCTGGGCTCAAACTTTCAGTCTTCCTGTCACAGCTTTCTAGAGTGCTGAAATTGAAGGTATGTACTACCGCACCTGGCTGTTTTCATCATTTAAAAATGTGTGCCAGAAATGTTTTAGCTAAGTTCTAATATCGAGTCATTACAGAATTGCCTAGATACCATGGCATCTAACGTCATGACTGAATTTACTCATTTCATGCCAGGAAACAGCAACTGAGGAGTGTCCAGTGTTTTTTCCCCTTCTTGCAGAGGGATGGACCATGGAGGCAGGCCAGGCTGCAGGAGGTGATCCTGAGCAGCCCCTAGCAGAGTGAGTGAAGCAAGTCAGAGTCCAGCCTCCAGACACAATCCTGCAGAACAAGTGCAGAGCAAAGAACTACTAACCATAACAGGGCACTGGAGTTGTGAGGGACTGTCTGAAAAGAAGTGAACAGAACTCTAAGAATACAAGAATAGCACATATAGGGAGTAATCGCTTGCCTCAGGGCTGAGATGGGATGCCCAGGATAGAGCCCTCTCTTTGACCATCAGGCTGAAATCCAGACCTTTCCAGAGAAGGTATGGCTGTGACCCACTAGATGCCAAGAAGTCCCTGGGGTGCCATGCTGGCAGAACTTGCTGAAAGTCTATCTTTTGGGTATTGGTACCTATTACTGGATGTTGGATGAGGGTGCTGACCACTGAATGCTGCTTACTACTGGCACAATAGGAGCCAGGACCTGGGGAGGCCATACATGTTGTAGGAGCCTCCTGAAAAAGCACCCAGAGCCAGGGGCAAAAGCTGCCCTTCATCCTCTAATGTCTCTCCAGCCTCCTCCAAGCAAGGCGACACAGCCCAGTAGTCCTTGAATCTATCATGAGCACTATTTGTTTTTCCCAGATACAGCCAGAGCCCCACTTGATATCCTGTTCCCTGATGGCCACCTTTATTAAAGTAAAAATGCTTTAGAAGGAGGGAGAAGAAAATGGTGAGTATACATGTCACATGTAAATAGGCAGTAAATAAGAACTGTGAAAGCTGAGTGCACCCGTAACTGATAGGTTGCTGCAGTAGATGTACTTACTTAAAGAGCTGAGATTTGGAAAAATTTTGTTTTTCACAAATACAGATGTACTGTATGAAAAGGACATTCCATTTACCGAGGAAGTTTCAACATTTCTACCTACAAGCTCAATACCAACGCAGACAAATGATGCATTTTTCTTTCTTTTCTTTTTTTTTTTTTTGGTACCGGGGATTGAACTCGGGTCCTTGCACTTTCGAGGCAGGCACTGGAACCACTGAGCTAAATCCCCGGCCCAAATGATGCATTTTTAAATTGATATTTTTGTTGCTGCATCTCATGGCCAGTCTCTTCCCCATAATTTTGTTTTCTACCCCTCTTTATGTAGCCTTTTTTTTTTTTTTTGCCATGGGATTGCAGTTTGGTTTTCAAGGATTTCAACGTTTGAGACTTTAATCTTTCAGGGTTGTGATTTTTAGGATTTAGAATTTGGAGCCAGATGTGGTGGAACACACCTATAATCCCAGCATTAGGGCGGTCCAGGCAGTATCACTGTGAGTTGGAGGCCCTTGGAGGCCCATCTGAGCTACATAGTGAGTTTAAGGTCAGCCTGAACTATCTGACACAAGACCCTGTCTCAAGAAAAAAAAATTTAGAGACTTTTTAGATTTAATTGATTGATTGATTTGATGGTTTTTTGGAGACAGGATCTCACTATGTAGTTCAGGTTGGGTTTAAACTCATGTAACCCAAGCTGGCCTGGAACTCATGGTGATCTTCCTCCCTCAGCCTCCCAAGTGTTGGGATCACAGCCGTGCACAGCCACACCCAGTGGTTAGATTTTAGATGCTTGTTTGGTTTGGTTTGGTACTAGGGATTGAGTGAACTCAAGGAGCTATATCCTCAGTCCTTTTTTTTTTTTTTTTTTGTGGTACCCGGGATCGAACTTGGGTCCTTGAGCTTGTGCAGCAGGCAGCGGAACCACTGAGCTAAATCCCCGGCCCACCTCAGTCCTTTTTCAAAAAATTAATTAATTAATTTGAGACAAGTTCTCACCAAGTAGCCCAGGCTGGGTTTGAATTTATGATCCTCCTGTCACAGCTTCCCGAGTAGCTGGGACTGCAGGTGTGTCCTACCACACCCAGTAGTAGTAGGGTGTTTGGTCTTTTAGGATTTTAGTGGGCCAGGGATTTAGCTTAGTGGTTCTGCGGGCACCGTGGAACCAACAACCCCCCCCCCCCCCCACCCCCCCCACTCCCGCAAGCCAAGGTCCTGAGTTCAAACTGTACCACATAAACAAAGGATTTTAGTATCTGGGATTGTGTTTTTTGCAAGATAATGATCAGTATTCATGGCTTCAAACTGCTCTGTTTGTGCTAATTTGATACCTGTCCTAGAAAACCAAGACACCACCAGCAGGGTAACATGGTCACATTGTCATGTAACCCTCATCTTTTCAAAAAATGTTTTTATACTCCTGTGTGAATCCCTTGCAGGCTATAACCTGGAGTGGCTGCTGGACAAGCTGTTGCCCTTGGGGTTATCCCTGAGGACCTGATTCCTGGGTTGCAGCCAAAAGCACTTGCTGCCAACTCATCCCTCAGATGGTGCACATGCCCACCCCTAGGTGGTGCATAGATTCTCCCCTCAGATATTGCAGTTGCTCCCCCCAGCAGTGTGAGGCATGCCTGGTGCTCAGTGGTTGCAGCTGGGGGACCAGAACAAAGCCGGAGGATGACTTGGCATGCTCAGAGCCCCGCATTGCAGCCTCCACCAGTGTTGACTGAGGGAATAACCTCCTCCTCTCTCAAGGGCTCATCATACCTGCTCATCTCTGAATTATGTATTTAATGAAATCCCACCAACCCACCAGCAATTCAACTAAACAGGGACTCCTGTAATAAAAATAACCCGGCAATTAATGTTCTCAAATTATTAAGCAAACACATTCCTTGTTTAAAAATAGGCAGTTGAACATCTTGGCACAAAATGCTCTGCTTAGTCATCTTTTCTTCTCATTTCCTCTTTAAAAAAATTTTTTTTTCCTTTGCTAGAGCATTATGTAAGAATTGGGAAACTAAAATAAGATAATAGTTGGCAACCAAAGCCAACAGCCCCAACCTGGTTTTGGGCTGCAGAGCTCATCACCCTCTCTCTAGGAGTCCTGGGGTTCTAACAGGGATCTCCCAGCTTCCTTCACTTACCCTCAAGGGTTGGGGAGGTGAGAGCAGACAAGGAACATTTAGTATTTAAGAGGAAGTATCTAAACAGGACCACATGGAAATTGACTCCCATCCCCTAAAGGGATCAAGGGCTGTCAGCCTGGTCCCTGGGGTGTAAAGGGCTGTCAGCCTGGTCCCTGGTGTGTCTTCCACAACTGTATAATTTCCCACTTGGGGACCATGTTATCTTCCTTCTCCTGACCATTGTCCAGGCCACAGCCTGTGCAGGCCCATGGCAGATGTGCTTATTGTCAGAATGGTGCCTGCCAGGATAGGCCTGAGGCCAGGGAAGGCAGACACTGCTGTCCCTGCTGTGGTGGTGGTGCACCTCTGTCCAGAAGGGCAGCGCAGATATGGTGGGAGACACAGGCTGAGTCTGGGTTGGAACTTGGCAGTTGGAGGTACAGAGGATTATTCTGTGAATGGCTGGGTCTTGTAGCACGGATATTGGCCACCCTTCTGCCACCCTGGGCAGACCTGATGAAACCCTGAAGGCGGCTGAGTAGATGAGACAGAGTGGCTGGTGCTGCAGCTAGGGGCAGAGTGGGCCAAATGGGGTACCCTGAAGGCTTCCATCAGACTCACAGGACTTGAAGGTGCTGTAAAGTTTCTGGCCAGTAAACTCCCCCATGCATATATAACACTGTAAATCACAGAATGAAACAGCCCTCAGAAGCCCTGTGTGCTGCTGAGTTGTTTTTTTTTTTTCGGTACTGGGGATCAAACTTGGGTCCTTGTGCTTGCGAGGCAGGTGGCGGAACCACTGAGCTAAATCCCCTGGCGTGCTGCTGAGATTTGGCGTGTATCTTCATGGTCCTTTTGGCAAGGGGTTCATACTGCCAGGAAGCCTGTGGGCTTGCTGTGGCTTTTCTCAGGGAATGGGACAGATGGTCAGAAGGAGGAATCCCATGCCTCCAGGCCAGCCTCCTTCTGTTTGCTTGGTGGCAACACAGAATCCTCACCTGTCCAGCCATCCTCCCACTGGCCAGGCCCTATTTGTGTGGGGACTATATGTATCAGAGCCTGAGGCTGGGGCTAGGGATTTAGCTCAGTGGTTCAGTGCCTGCCTTGAAAGCGCAAGGTCCCAAGTTCGATCTCCGGTACCAAAAAAAACAACACAGAGGCTGAGGCTGTCCCATGGGACCTGTCTCCCAGCACTGAGCCAGGGGTCTGAGCAGTTTCTCTGGGAGCTGCCTGGAATGACTGTGGACTTTCACCAGGTACAGGCCTTGTGAGGACTGGTGGGTTCCTATCCTCTTTAGGACTTGTTTATGTATGCTACTACTGAAAATTTCATATTTTAACAAGAGAGAAGGCTGAGGATGTAGCTCAGTGATAGAGTGCAGGCTAAATTCAACCCCTAATACTCAGAGAGAGAGAGAAAGAGAGCTATCTGGGCCAGGTGGCATGTCTGTAATATCAGCACTCTGGGAGGCTGAGGCAAGAGGATCACAAGTTTGAACCCAGCCTAGGCAATTTAGTAACTTAGTGAGACCCTGACTCAAAACCAAAAAGGTTAAAAAGTGGGGGGGGGGGGGAGCGTCTAGGGACATAGCTCAGTGTGAAGGCTCTGAATTCATTCCCTAGTGGGAGGATAGGGCTTTTTGTGTTTCTGTGTGAGATGGCCAGTCATACTTTTTTCTCTCAGGCTTATCTTGGCAGCCAACAGGGATGAATTCTACCACAGACCATCCAAGCTAGCCGACTTCTGGGGGAATAACAATGAGATTCTTAGTGGTAAGTCTTCTTTCACACCTGCTTGACAGACATTCATTGTGGTCCCACCTAAGCCCCCGGGACAGCATTAATGCACAAGTCCCAAAATGAGCCTCACAGGGACCCTGGTTCCAGTGTAAATGCTGAATATATGAATGGAGTGCTGGGTGGACAGCTCAGTCATGCTCAATGGCTAACTTAGCACTGCCCCTTGCATTGTCCACTAGCACTGTCCATGTGGCTTTACACGCCTTGGTCAGTCTGCACATGGAAACCGTGTCCCTTGGCCACTTTCCGAGGGACCCTTCTTATGTGTGCATGCACTATATGTGTGTGTGTTTGTATCTGCATCCATGGTTATGTTGTGTACTCCTTGCTCCAGGCATTGTGGGCCATGTTTGAGAGCAAAGCTTTGTATAAGGTACATTTTGTATTCCTAGAAATATTACCACTGAGCTTTGTTCTAGATGCAAATAGAGTTTAAGAGAGCGTTTGATCCTTTTGGGTCTTTTGCTTGAAATTTGACAGGCAAGTGCAGAGCCATGCCCAGTTGAGGGCTAATTTTCAACTTCTAAGGTCTGACTTTCCATAGTAGTTAACCCAGTGCACCAGGAATTATATGCTTTTTCTTTTTCTTTTTCTTTTTCAAACTCAGGACCTTGCGTTTGCGAGGCAGGCACTGGAACCACTGAGCTAAATCCCCGGCCCTTTATATGCTTTTTCTAATGTGGCTACTGAGAGCAGGCACTATTCTCTGCCCTGTGTAAGTGCGGTCCCCTTTAATCTTTCTGGGTTCTTTCCTGGCCTCATGTGTGCTGATCCTATCTCCAGGGTCCTCTGTATAGCTCTCTCCTCTTTGGTCTTCTGTCTCGTGAACACTGGCTGCCTCAGTCTCCTTGAACTCTCCACCCCTGTCCTCAGCTCAGGGAGTTAGCTGGCCTGGCCTGTGCCTGAATCCCTACATCTCCTTCACTGGATCCTGGGGACTTTCTAATCTAATGAGGGGGTCACTTGTTTCTCATTTCTCAGATCTTTTAAGGCCCATTTTTTCCCCCTATATTTTATTTTTTGTTTGCTATACAGGAGAGAAAATCTTAACTCTATTCCTTGGCCAGATAAGGAATTCTTACTCATTTTTAAATTATTGATTTGTAGGATTTCTTTATGCATTCTAGATGACTCTTTTGTTGGATAAATGTATGCCTACTCATTTCCTTGATGCTGTCTTTTTTGGGTGAGCAGAATATTTTATTTTAGCAAAATGCAGTTTATCTACTCCATTGTAGTTTGTGTTTTATCCAAGAAGTCTGTGCTGCTCCTAAGGTTGGTGATATTTTTATCTATTTGCTTCCAGAAGCCTTCTGATTTTGAGGTCTATGCTTTGGTCTGTGATTGATCTCAAAATAATTTTTGTACATGGTGTGAGGTAATGGTTGAGTTTCACCCCCTACCCCCATCCTTCTAGTTGTTTCAGCATCATTAGATGGATATTCTTTTGCTTGTTGTATAATTATGACAACTTGGTTGTAGACCAGTTGATCATATATGTGTGGGTCTATTCCAGACTTTGTTGTGTCCCATCGATATGTGTGTTTGTCTTGATGTCAATACTACAGTATCTTACTTACTGTCCTTCTGAGCCAAGTGGAGTGATGAATATCTATAGTCCCAACTAATTGGGAAGGTGACGTGGGAGAATCATTTGAGCCCAGGAAGTCAAGGCTAGCTCAGGCAACATAGACCCCAGCTCAAAAAAGAAACAAAACATAAAACAACTGTCCTTTTTAGCAGGTCTCAAATCAGGTATAGTGTAAGTCTATCTTTGTTCTTTTGTAGAACTGTTTGGTTATCCCAGTTCCTTCATGGGTTTTTTGTTTTTATTTTTAATATAATTTTTTTTGACAAGTTTTCGCTATGTAATTCAGGCTGGCCTTGAATTTACCACGTAGCCCAGGCTGGCCTCAAACTCACGAGAATCCTGCCTCAGCTTCCCAAGTACTGTTTTGTTTTTTTAAAATAAATTTTATTTTATACCATTTTCCCCCTCAAGCCCCCTCCCCTCCCTATGTACAAAAGCTTTGTTTCCATTTTTTCCTTCTGTTTTCACATTTTTCCTTGTCCCTTCCTTTTTCCTTCCCTCCTCCCTTATTCTCCTTCCCATTGGAACATTTTCTTCCCATTTCCCAACATCCATTATACATTTCAGTCCTTATTTCCACTTTGAGTTTCTCACACTGTAGAAACAATGCAGTATTTAAACATGTGTCCAATTTATTTCACTTAAGAGTATGGTCTCAAGGTCCGTTCTTTAGCTGTAAATGTCTGAAGCTCATCCTTATTTGTGGCAGAGTAGTACTCCATTGTATAAAAAAACCACATCTTCTTTTCCATTTATCAGTTGATGGGCATTTGGGCTATTTCCAAGACTTAGCTATTACAAACTGTGCCGCTATAAACATGGGTGTGTATATATTGCAGTGGTATGGTTCTTTTAATTCTTTCAGGAAGATACCAAGAAGAGGTATAGCTGGGTCAAATGGAATGTCTAATTTTACTTTTCTGAGAAATCTCCTCCATGCTGATTTCCACAGTGCTTGCACCAGTCTACATTCCCACCAGCAGTGGAGAATGGTTCCTTTCTCCCCATAGCCTCTCCAACCTTTGTTGTTGGTTGATTTCTTGATAGCAGCCATTCTTTCTGGAGTGAGATGGATTCTCATCATTGTTTTAATTTGCATCTCTTGAATGACCAGTGATGTTGAACATTTTTTCATATATTTATTTGCTGTTTCTAATTCTTAATCTGAGAAGTGCCTTTTTGTTTCAGATGCCCATTTTTGCAATGGGTCTTTTTTTTTTTTTTTTTTGGTACCAGGGATCGAATGCGGATCCTTCCGCTTGCAAGGCAGGTGGCAGAACCACTGAGCTAAATCCCCGGCCCCTGCAATGGGTCTTTAAATTTGAGGGATCTGATTTTTTTTGAGTTCTTTATATATTCTAGACAATAGTTCTTTATCTGAATAGCTGGTAAAAATTTTTCCCCACTCTATGGGTTGTCTCTTCACTTTGTTGGTGGTTTCTCTTGCTGTGCAAAAGCTTTTTAATAAGATGAGGTCCCAGTTATTGATTCTTTGTAGTATTTCCTGTGCGGTCTGGGTTTTGTTCATGAAGTCTTTGCCTCTTATGTCCTCAAGCGTTCTACCTATTCTCTCTTCTAGCAGATTTAGTGTTTGTGTTTTAATATTTAGATCTTTGATCCATTTTGTTTTTAGGTTAGTGCGTGATGAAAGATATGGCTCTAGTTTCAATCTTCAGCATATGGAAAGCCAGTTTCTTCAGGACTATAAAGAGGCTATCTTTCTTCCAGTGAAGGTGTTTGGCTCCTTTGTCAAAGATAAGGTTGGCTGAGTATGTCTGGAGTTGTTTCTACATCTTCTAGCGTGTTCCACTGATTCTCAGGTCTGTTCTTTTGCCAGTACTATTCTGTTTTTATCACAGTAGCTTTGTAGAAGAATTTCAGGTCAGGGATTCTGATACCCCCTGCCTTGCCTTTGTTACCCAGAATTGCCTTTGGTATTTAGTCTCTTCTGGTTCCAAATGAATTTTAGGATTGCTCTTTCTAATTTTTTTTTTTTTTTTTTTTTGATACAAGGGCTCACTATGTAGTTCAGGCTGGCCTTGAACTCACTATGTATCCCAGGCTGTCTTTGAACTCACAGTGATCCTCCTGCCTCTGCCTCCTGAGTGCTGGGATTGCAGGTGTGTACCACCACACTAGGCCCTTCATTTTCTTTTTTTTTTTTTAAGTTTTATCCCTGAGTTGATGCTTGTAAATTGCTTATGGTGAGTAGCTTTATTGGCAGTATTATTTTTTTTTTTTTGGTACCGGGAATCAAACTCAGATCCTTGCACTTGCACTGCAGGCGGCGATTTATTGGCATTATTCAGAACCCTTAGGAAATGACTTTCTCAGAAGCATCTTCCAGGTGTAGCTAGCTTTTTGGTTTTGAGACTGTTTCAGGATCCTACCTCTTCAATTTATTGGAAATGAGAAGTTTTTGCCTACTTGGTTCAGCTGCCAGTTCTTTGGCACTGGCCTATAGGTTGTTTTTTTTTTAAAACCCTTAGGCAATCTCAGTCTCGTGGTATACCAGAAAGAACAACTGATTAGCACAATTATGTCACCTAGGCTAAAGTAGTACAGTCAACAATAACAATAGCATCAAATACAGATTAGAAAAATGACAAATTGTAGCCTTTTTATTTTTGGTACCAGGGATCGAACACGGGACCTTGCAATTTTGAGGCAGGTGTTGAAACCACTGAGATAAATCCCTGGCCCTAAATTGTAACCTTAATATAGCATTTTTACCCTTAGGGAAGAAGATTTAAAATGGGTTAGGGGGTAAACAATAGAAATAAAAGAAGAGGAAGAGATCAGAAGCAAGGCTGGAGGACAAACTTTAGGAAAATGGTGAAGACAGGTGGAAAAGAGAAAAGGAAAAGATATAAACAAGAACAGAAGAGAATAACAACAAAAAACTACAAACTGTGATCAAACAATCAAGAAAAAAACTAAACTAAACAACTAGAAAGGGGGAAAAAAGAAAGAAAAAAGGAAGAAGAAAAAAGATGACAAAAAAACACCCGGGCCGGGGATTTAGTTCAGTGGTTTCGCCGCTTGCTGTGTAAGTGCAAGGACCCGAGTTTGATCCCTGGTACCAAAAACAAAACAAAACAAACAAAAAAAACACCGCCAGGGCTGGGGATTTAGCTCAGTGGTTCTGGTGCCTGCCTTGAAAGCACAAGGTCCTGAGTTTGATCCTCGGTACCAAAAAAAACCAAAACAAACAAAAAACCAAAAAATTTTGGGCCGGGGATTTAGCTCAGTGGTTTCACTGCCTGCTGCGCAAGCACAAGGACCTGAGTTCAATCCCTGGTACCAAAAACAAAAAAAAAACACCGCCAAATGTCCAATTCAAGGTGTGTCTCTGCTGTCACGGTTAGGCAGTGTGGGCAGTCAGTCCAGAGCCAAACTGATTAATCCTGGTAAGCCAGCTGCAGCTTCAGGGTGGGGTACTGGATAATCCCAGCCAGCCTGCCCCTTTAGTTCCTCTGAAGTTAAGGCCGATTCTGGCTATGAGGCTGGAACCAGATTCCTTGAGCCTTCAACAGTCTATGTGTCTCCTGCCAGCTTGAACTCTGCTCTCTGACACCGAGGCACCGGGAGCCACTAGATGGAGTCTGCCCGAAGCTGTTTTGAGTTCCAAGCTCAGTTGTCCTCTCTCCAAGAGGGCTACCAGCCAATCACTCTTTTAGTTGAGTTCTGAACCCGAATAACTCACCAGCTGCAGCAGTCTGGTTCATCCACTGCTCTGTTCCATTGGTGTGTTTCTCTGTGGGGGCCTTTGGGGCCGTCAATAGTCATTGTGCATCTGCAGGTTCGTTGTGCCGTTCCTGAGTCTGGGAGAGAGCACTGGTTGGTACCTCCCTCCCCTTCATTAAAGTCTCTCTTCACTCTCCCCATAGACTTCAGTTCTCGCCTCAGATCCTTCCTTGGTCCTGGGGACCCACTTTCCTCCTCCTTCTCCTCCTCCTCCTCGCACTGCTATATTCCAGTGTCAGCGCACCAAGTCTCAGAGGCTCTTTGATGCTTACCACTCCACCATCTTCCCGGAAGTCCTGAGTACTGGTGTTACAGGTGTGTATCACCATGCCCAGCTAAAGCCTAGCATTTTAAAACATTTCTTCTTTGCCTTTAACTTTAGAGTATCTAGTCAAAATTCTGTTTTCCAAAGTTACTTAGGTGATATCTGGGCATTGTGCTGGGGATTACACCTGTAATCCCAGTACTCAGGAGGCTGAAGCAGGAGAATTGCTGTGAGTTTGAGGCCAGCCTGGGCTGCATTAGTGAGTTCAAGGCCGGATTGGAATACATAGTGAGACTCTGTCTCAAAAAACAAAACAAGGGCCGAGGATTTAGCTTAGTTTGATCCCCAGTACCAAAACAACAACAGCAACAACAAAATACTTAGGTGAGTTCTTTCTCCTCCAGTGAGGTAGTATAGTTAGATTCATTTATTATGATTAATGTTCCATGTTGGGTTTCCCTTACATCCTGTTTGATCTGGCTTAAATGTTTGCTTATATTTTCTGCTTACCTAGGCTTTGGGGTGTATTTTTTTATTGCCATGGTCCTAAGAGTGAAAACAACACAAGGGGTACCCAAAAAATGTCTTCCACCTTCTTATCACTGCTACTCCGTTCTCATTCTCCATTTTGTTCCACATTTTCTCACCTACCCTATGGAGGTATCTTAGTCATTTTCTTCATTGCTGGGACAAAATACCAGACACCTACAACTTAAGGAGAGGTTTATTTTGGCTTATGTTTTAGTCCATAGTTGGCTGGCTCCGAGGCAAGATGGCATTGCAGAGTGGCATGGTGGAAGAAAAGCTGTTTCTTATGGCAGCTAGGAAGAAGAGAGCAAAGAGAGAAGCTGGGGAGGGAGATACTGTACCCTCCCAGGCCATACCCACAGTGACCTGCTGCTCCTGACCAGACCCCACCTAACAGCAAGTCAACTGTACTGCCCCATAATCCACCTTCCAAACACGAGGCCATTTTAGGTCTAAACCATAACATGATGCCCCTGGTCCCTCAAAAGACTCGTGTGTTACTTTATATACAAAATGCATTGTGTAATAGTCACCACAGATTTTTTTTTTTGGTACCAGGGATCAAACTTGGGTCCTTGTGCTTTCGAGGCAGGTGGAAGAACCACTAAGCCAATCCCTGGCCCAGTCACCACAGTCTTGGCAGTACTTTCAGCATTGCTGAAAAGTCCTAGTCCAAAGTCTCCTCTAAGACTCAAAGCAAATGCTTAGCTGTGAGCCTCTGTAAAAATAAAAAAGAAAGTTAAACACTGCTTACATACAATGTTACAGGGTAAACATTCCCATTATAAAAAGGAGGAATAGGAAAATAGAAACCAATGGGACCAAAGTAAGACTGAAACCTGACAGGGCAAACATTAAATCTTGTAGTTTCATGTACAGCACCCAGGTCAAGCTGTGGTAAGATAAGAACTACAAAAGGCTTCGGGAGTCATACCCCTATGGCATTGCCAGTGGTTGCATCTCTCATGACTTCTCTCTTGGGCTGGCTTTGCTTACTCCTTGTGGCTTTCCTCAGCTGTTCCAGATTCCTGACTTCTCCCCCTTTCTGGGGTCTCCAAAGTATTTTTGGCTTCACTCTCATAGCTTCCTTCAGTGCCCTCTCAGGGGCCCATTGCCTGGCCTCCCAGGCCTTCTTCTGAAATCTAACCCTCTAGTCTAGCAAGTGCCCTCCTATGGCTGTTTTATTTGTTGTTGTCGCTGCTGGGGATCCAACCCAGAGCCCCTTGCATACTAGGGTAGTGCTTTGCCACTGAACTACACCCTGTATCTTCCTCCTGTGCCTTTAAGGGCCCGTCTTACCTAGTGGCAAGGCTTGATGATATATGGAGTACTGACCATGGCCTGGACCTGAGCCTGTTCCTGGTAGATGGGGCCCCTAGGCAGGGAAGCTATCTTAGTGTCCTGAACCTCCAACCCTAGGCCATGTGTAAGATGTGTTCTGTAGAAGTCATGTGCAGACCACCCAGTTTCACGTTCACCGTATTGACATCAGGATGGGCGTATTTGGTGCCTGCAATGTCCTGTGGGACAAGGTTATCATCTATACTCTTTGTGTACTCTAGGAGCTGCCTCACTTTGCAGAGTTGGATTCCCAACCCATGGCCAGGGCTGCTGGGCTGAGCTACATATTCTCATAGAGCTACTGACATTGCTTTTTATAGGGTACAGGGTCTGGGCAGGAACCAGAGCAGTGTTAGAACCCATTGCGATGAATGGTAACTCTGTCACCTGCCATAGGGCTCGACATGGAAGAAGGCAAGGAAGGAGGCACGTGGCTGGGCATCAGCACTGGGGGGAAGCTAGGGGCGCTCACCAACTACCTGCAGCCAAGGCTGGACCAAGATACCCGTGGCAGAGGTAAAGGGAAGCAGGGGGAGTGGGACTGGGCCCAGGCAGGGATTGGGGGTGGGCAAGGCCTAGTAAGGCAGGCAGAGTGGGCCACAAGGTAGGTAGGAAGCAGGAGGCACCTGGAGAGAGCTTCTGCTAGCACTCCCTACCTGCCTCAGGAATAGAAGGCAGAGACAGGAGAAGAACAGGGGACCTTTGATATCACTATAGCAGCCACTGTTGACCTGGTCCTCTGGCACCCACAGATTTGGTTATCTCAGGGAGCACCCTCTAAGTCTGTCATTACAAAATGTGACTCCTTACTATTATATCTCTGTCCTCTGCCTGTCCAATGTCAGCAGCATAGATACTGCCCCCTCTCCCTCTAGTATAGTTCTATGGGGAGGTGTTTTGTTTTTTTTTTGTACCGGGGATCCAACTGGGGACCTTGCACCTGCAAGGCAGGCGGTGGAACCACTGAGTTAACCCTGGCCCCCTATAAGATTTTTTTTAAACCAAAAAAAAAAACAACAGAAAACTTAGTTCTCAGTGCCACCCTTTGTGGCAGCCCTCTCAGTGAAGTGTAGCTGAGTCCAATTGCTGGAGCTCCAATGGGATCCCGCTTTCTTTGTCCCAAGGGAGCTCCATTATGGTGTCCCAAGGAAAGGGGCTCGTCTGCCTCAGTCATGTGTCTCTGTTACCTGTACACAGGTGAACTTGTAACCAACTTTCTGACCACTGACATGGACAGCTTGTCCTACCTGAAGAAGGTCTCCCAGGAGGGCCACCTGTACAATGGCTTCAATCTCATAGCAGCTGACCTGAGGTGAGTCTGTCAGAAGAGGGCAGCAGCCCTACCCAGCACTGCCCTAGGGGCCAAGTCTTTTGGCATCCGGCTCAGGATTCCACCTGTCCAGTCAGCTTGGCAGCCTTCCCCAGGATGTCACTTGCAGTAGGCTTGGCAAGCATTCCAAGGACCTAGACTGTTTCAGACCCACCCACCTGGGGCATGGGGAGCTGAGTCAAGGCTTCTTGCTTTCTGCCTCGAGAGCTGAAGTGGAGAGCTGGGGCTGTGAAGGGCAGTCTGTGGCCTTAGTTAGGTGTCCACTCTCCTTCCATGGGCAGGCCCTGGGGAACAGCCCACAGCAGTCTGGCCAGGTGCTGTGACCTAGGTGACTCTCATATTAGAGATATGGTCACAGGTACTGCAGAAATTTTGTTTTGCCTTTCAATGAAGTGAGCATCCTCCTCATCTCCCTCTGACTTCTCTCCCTTACCCTTCTAATGTCCAGAAGTTAGCAAATGCTGTTAGCCTAGGCAGGTATGTCCAACCTGCAGCCTGTGGGTTGAACATCCCTGGGTTGTAGTAAAAAGTATTTAAAAATGATTTTTTGTTACTTGTATGTTACCTGTATTTTTTATGTGCATCCCAAGACAATTCTTCACTCAGTGCAACCCAGGCAAGCCTGGCATGTCTAAGCCATGGGCTGTCAGTTGGAGGGGCTTCCTCCAGTTACACAGGGTGAGGGCCAGTTGGCACACATGTCCAGATCCCCTTGCTGAGCTACCTCTTTTCATGAGGGCAGGTCTGCTGTGCCTCCCAACGTCCACTGCATGTGGAATGCTGTGTCCCACCCCGGTACCACATATATGGAGGCATATGATGTAGAGGCTGAGCAGGCTTCAGTGGCCCACAGCGGGAGGACCAAGGGTGAAGGCTAATGTTAGCACTTACTGTCCAGAGCGCTCCTCCCAACTGACCTATACAGCTCCAAGTCCATGTGCTCCCCAAACTTGGAGACCACTTTACCCTGTCTTTGTTCCATGTGTGTGTGACCCAGCTCCAGGAGACCAGAACAGTGGCTGACAATGGCGGGACCAGGCACTCAGCAGCTGTGCCAAGTGGCTGAGGGACAAGGGAGCTGTGTTCTGAATGGATGTGTGGGTACATATGGCCTGGCAACTTCTGAAGTTGTGGAAAGTGAGGCCCTGGGCCCTTGAAGCAGCTTTCTTAGATCCTGGGTCAGGAGTCTGCCATCATGATCACAACCCAAGAAAACAGACAGTGATCAGAGAAGCATTCCATGGATCAATGGCAGATGGTACCAGGGCTGAGGCTGGAGGGTGGCAGTGAACAGCCCTGCTGGTGGGTGCTGATGAGGAAACCAAGTCACAGCTGTCCCTGGAATAGGCCCCTCCTTTTGCCTGGCCAGGGTGGCTCTGGCAACAACCCCAGCTTGGGCACCTGATGGTACTGTCCTTATATCAAAAAATCAAAAGCTTTCTGCTGGGATACAAAAGCTCTGAACTCATTAACCAAACATCTTAAGAAGCTGCCAAGAGATGTGATGAAAGAAGAATGTGAACACAGACTAGAGGCTCTGGAAGCTGGTGGATGGGACCTGCCTGTTGATAGTATGGAGCAGGAGGAATGGGAGGATTTACCAGTACCCCACCCACCCATTTTACCCCCTTTTCTGCATTTGTCCATTCTGAAGGTGCAGCTCTCTTTGTCTGGTGTCTGACCTGGAGGGTGTGCCATAGATCTCAAAGTCATGGTGCACACCTGTAATTCCAGGTACTCGAGACTGAGGCAGGAGGATCTCAAGTTTGAATCCCACTTGGGCAACTTACTGAGATCCTGTCTCAAAATAAAAAAATAAATAGAAAAGACTGCAGCTCAGTGATCCCCAGTACTAAACAATGGCAACAAAAAGGCATTACAAGGTCTACCAGCAAGATTTACTGTGGTATTGAGGAACCAGGGCATCTTCAGCAGTGGAGCATTGTAACTGTTGTAAAACGTACACTCAGAATATGAAAGTAGGAAGCCTATGTCACCCTGAGGCCACCTGTCTAGATGCCCCAGAAGCACTTGGAGATTAGCCACAGAGGTGGGCACCACAACTCAGAAGATGCTGTTCATGGGGGTGGGGCTTAGCACTGTAACTGTCACCATGTGATCATGCCGTGGTCTAGGCAGGAGGGTCTTCACATGCTGTTCCCTCCCAGGCTGGTGGTACCTGTGATGCTGGACAGGAACCAGGTCTCCATGGCCTAACTTTCCGAGCCCCTCAGCCTGGCTAAAGTGGACCATTGTTCTTGTGCTTGGCCACCAGCGAGGGCTCTGGGAACAAGGCCATGAGATCACTGGGCAGTGCTGAGGGCAGGATGCCCTATTGATCCTGTCTAACCTTTTCTGTCCTCCATCCACAGTACAGCAAAAGGAGATGTCATTTGTTACTATGGAAACCGGGGGGAGCCTGAGCCCATCACCCTGATGCCAGGTGAGCCTGCTCTGGCAGCCTGATAGGGTGAGGGATTGCTGCCGTGTTGGGGATCCCCCTGTGCTTTTCAGGGACCAGGCCCCTGTTGTATTTTTCTCCTAGGTCTGTACTGTTTGCAGATTTTTGCACCTTATGACCTGTATGGGACTTTGGCCTACACTCAGCCCTGCACTGTTTCTGCCACCTTCCCATGGGTTTTTCCTAGAAAGTGAGACTCAGAATCTGCTGTGGACTCTTACCTCAGCCCTTCAGCCTCGCCGGCAACCCCTAGCCCCACATCTCAGCCCAGTGTCTGTTTGTCCTTTCTGAGAGCCTTTGGGGCATTTACCACATAGGGTCTTCCTCTGCACCTCCTCCCTGATACACATACACACCACACTCCAGCCCCGCACAAATGCACACCTCCTGTACCTCGTCTCCATGCTTGGCCCATGTCCTTAGGGACTCTCCCTTTTGCCTCCCCTACTCTGCCCTGGTCTCCTCTGACTTAGCAGAAAATAAGTGTCTCTAGCCAGGGTTGGGGGTCTCAGCCACTGAGAACAAAAGGCCTCAGGGCAGCTTCCAGCTGCTTCCCCAATGGCCTCTGGGCAAGGTTTTGAATGGGTAAGAAAGATGTCTGCCTCCTTACATGCCTTGTGTGTTCCAATTCCTTCCCAGGCAGTTACCAAGGGCTCAGGGCAGCTCTAGTGATATGTGGACACAAACCCACCTCACTGCACACCTAGACCCCAAAATGCTGAACTGACGTGGAGGCATCAAGGCAACCAGAACAGTAAGAACATGGTGGCAAGCTCGCACTACACAGCGCCATAGCCCTCTGCCTCACTGTTAGGTATTACCAGGCTCTTGGGGGCTCAGCTGGGCCTGACCTGGACCCCTATAACTCTGTCCAAGGTGGGAAGGTGAGGGCCAGCATCACAGAGGATGGCTGGGCTCCTGTTGTGGAGTGCTCCACAGTTGGCAGAGAGTCCCACATGAAGAAAGAGTGGGCACTAGAAGCCACCCTCCAAGAGTGGGATGGGGTGGCCTCCTCTGAAGTTGCCCTGGCCCAAGGTATCCTGGCCTGATCATCACCCCAGCAGAGTGGTGTTCTGGATTCCTTGACTCACCTGTGCCCAAAATGTCCCTGGACAGACATGAGAAGTTGGGCTCTCACTACACCTTTGCCTAGGTGCTATCTTCTGTGGCTCTGCCCTGCTATCCTTCCTTCCTTGGATGTTGTGATTTCCTGGAAGCCTCTCTCCCGCCAGTAGACAGAGAGTATCACATTATACTCCCACCATAAGCCACTTGGAGGGGTCGGAGGTCTGTGTCTTGTCCTAGGTCTGCTTTTCCACCTTCAACTTGCTGCCTGAGGCTAGTCATCACTGGTGGCATCTCAGGCCTGTGGACCTCAGACACTAACTCTTTTTTCTACATCTGAGCTGTTGGCCTTTATCAGGAGTCCCAGCCCTTAAAGAGTATCAACACTCTCATGTTCTTACTGTTCTGCTTGCCTTGATGCCTCTGCATCAGTTCAGCATCTTGGGCTCCAGGTGTGCAGTGAGGTGGGTTTGTGTCCATATATCATTAGGGCTGCCCTGAGCCCTTGGTAACTGCCTGGGAAGGAATTGGAACACACAAGGCATGAAAGGAGGCAGACATCTTTCTTCCTCATTCAAAACCTTGGCCCAGAGGCCATTGGGAAAGCAGCTGGAAGCTGCCTCGAGGCCTTTTGTTCTCAGTGGCTGAGACCCCTGACCCCTGCTAGAGAAGCTTATTTTCTGCTAAGTCATTTTTGGTAGAAATTCCTTTCATTCCTACGCCTGTCCTCACCTGATCTAAGTTGCCATAGGCTGGGGAGGTGGAGGAGTGGGGAGATAATGGGTTTCTCTGGGAGATAATGAAAAGGTTCTGGAATTAGATAATGGTGATGGTAGCACAACTTTGTGGATGTACTAAATAGGTGAGTGGTATCTCAATAAAACTGTTATTTAAGAAGAGGGGACTGGGGATTTGGCTCAGTGGTAGAGCACAAAATAGTAGTTATATAGGACATGGATCAAGAATGGGACAAGCTCAGGGATGAAACAGGATATTGATGTCCCCATATGGCTAGGGTTCTCTAACTGCTGGTACAAATCAGGGCCTATTGGGCTGAGGATGTAGCTCAGCAACACAGTGCCTGCCTGGTAAGTGTTAAGTCCTGAGTTTCATCCCTGGTACCAAAAACCAAAAACAAACCAAACAAGTCAGGGCCTATCATGGTAGTTGCCCTCCTAGCTTTGGGTTGCTGATTGTCCACCTCTGACCTTTGTAGGTGTTCCCATGCTCTCTTTTTTTGTGTGTGTGGTACCAGGGATTGAACTCAGCACCTTGTGTTTGCCAGGCAGGCTCTGCGGCCCTGAGCTAAATCCCCGGCCCCTCCCATGCTCTTGCCTAGAGAGAGATTCCCCATTGGAGTTCCAGTTGTTTATTCCATGTTAATGTGTTGATCCAGGCCCTAGATATCTATGCCTCATGGCCTCTTGTGTATGCCCCCCAGGTGAGTTCTTCATCCCTCACTACACAGATGGGGCTAGAGAGGGCACAGAGGAAGTACTAGAGTAAAGGAACAGCTTAGTCTCAGTCTGTTCCAATTTTGTTGTCCCTAGCTGTATCCCTGGCACTTTAGCTTATGCATTAGTGGGAGAGTAGGAGTTTACCCTGAAATCAAATAGCAAGGCCTCTGCATGGCCAGATTGACTCCTCTCCCTGCAGGAACCTATGGGCTGAGCAACGCACTGCTGGAGACACCCTGGAGGAAGCTGTGTTTTGGGAAGCAGCTCTTCCTGGAGGCTGTGGAGCAGAGCCAGGTGCTCCCTAAGGATGCCTTTGTTGCCCAGCTCCTGGACGTGCTGAACAACGAGGAGGCGTAAGTGGATAAGTCCCCCTAAGTGACCACCCAGGCCCTGGGCAACAGAGGAAGGCAGGTTCTGCTGCCTGGGGGCCAATGGAGGTGACCAGGGCTGGCTCTTCAGCTGCTTTCCTGCTCTCCCTGCTTGTCCCCCTTGGGCACCCAGTTGGGGTTTCCAGTAGGGAACTTTGATGATGAGAAGTGGGGCAGCTGAGGGCCTGTAGGCTGGGAAGTTCAGTGCTCTCAGACCTCAGATATAGGCTTGCATAGTGCTAGAGGAGGTGGAAGCTCCTTTCCACATGAGGAAGGGCAGTTGGAAATTCTTGGAGGTTCTGGACGTTCAGAAAGTCCCAGCGGGGAAGAGCCATGGAATTGAGAAGCCAGGCTCAGGGCTGCTCTGGATGGGGACAGAACTTCCCATATGTCTCCCCAGTGATCTAGGTTGAACATTGGGCACAAATGTACCTGTCCCTGGGTTTAGGGTCACCCCCACATGCTTCCTGGCCTGGAGGCTTTGAGGCACCACAAGTAGCAATGGGACATCCTCACACATGGGGCATCTAAGTCTTGGCCATCCCAGCAGGGGGTCTCTGTTTGTCAAGCTGGCTTTGGTCTCACGTGCAGCCCCACGTTCCTCCCCTTCCCTTTTAAGCTGTCCACCTTCCTGCCCAGATGATCCAGTGTCTACTGCCACTTCCCTGAGCTCTACTGCTCTAGCAGCTCCTCAGAGAAATGCCCCCACCATGATTTCCTGGGGTCCCTTCCTTCCCCCTGCTCATCCTCCCTCTCCTCTGCACCTCCCTCTCCTGTGTGCCATGGTATCATCCTTCAGCCTGAGCATTACTATCCCTTTGGGGAGCCCTACTGGCCTCCCCGTCCAGCCACCTTCTCACCAATCAGTACACATAGTGGTTGGTCACTGTGTCATCCTGGGGAGTTCTGTGATGTTCCTTGGCTGCTCTCATTGATGCCTGCAACTCTGCTGCCTGTTGTGGTGACTGGGAAGTCTTGGGGCTCAAGCAGACTCCTGTCACGCAGATAGATTCCCACAGGTCAACTCTAGGGGGAGCCATAAAGTGTGTGGCATCTAGCTGGCTGGGCTTAATGATGGAGTCCAATGCGGAAGGTTAACATAGGTATGAAGCACCAAGCAGCAATGAAGATACAACAACCCTTATGGTTCTGCACAGCCTGTTCAAGGCCAAGGTGCTCCTCAGGAACCTCGAGGCTGTTAGGCCACCCAGCTACATGGGGCTATGGATAGGCAGCAGAGGGACTGATGGCTACCCTTTTCCTCTCTTCTTCCAGACAGCTGCCAGACCCAGCCATTGAGGACCAGGGCCAGGAGTATATACAGCCCCTACTGAACAAGTATGCAGCTGTGTGTGTGCGCTGCCCAGGCTATGGCACCAGGTATGGTGGGCATGGGGATGATGGGCACCTCACCTCTGAGGCTGGAGAGAATGGCAAAGAAACAGCTTCCCTACACTCACGGCTCACTAGGGCCAGATTCCTTCCCTAGCTGAATGGATTCTAGAGCCTCTGCCCTGTCTACACTTGGCTGTGAGTGGTGAGTAGACCATACATAAATGACTGCCAGCTCTCAGGTTTGAGGTCCTTGAGGTTTCCACTGTGTCCTAGGTGGGGCCCATGTGTTATCCCCTTCAAAGTCAGGGATTGTGATGCTCCCTGCTTTGCCTTTGTTGCCCAGAATTGCTTTTGCTATTCTAGGTCTCTTCTGGTTCCAAATGAATTTTAGGATTACTTTCTCTAAGTCTGTGAGATAGGCTATTGGTATTTGATCATGTCCTCTTCCAGTGAGGAGCCAATATACAGCCACTAGAGAGCCAGGGTAGTATCTGTGTTGTTCTTGGCAGATCCCGGTGGATAGATGCCCTGGTACTGACATTCTAGGGCCCATGGGTTACATTCTTAGGTATGGCTGCAGACTGTTCATTTGTGTGTGTGTGTATCCACCTTTTTTTCCATGGGAGACAGGTATCACAACATAAAGAACCCCCCAAGCTGGGTGTGGTGGCACACACCTGTGATCCTAGCCCTCTGGAGGCTGAGGCAGGAATATTTCCCAGGAGTTCAAAGCCAGCTTGGGTTACATAGTGAGTTCAAGGCCACCCTGAATTACATAGTGAGAACCTGTCTCTAAAACAAAACAAAACAACAAAAACAAAACACATGAAGAACCTCCCACAATGGGGAAGACTGGGTGGGAGAGAAGGTGTGCTGAGTGTTAGCAGGGGGCCACCTGGCTTTGCTGGGGAGCTGGGGGAGGAAGGGGACAGAAGGGGGTTTTCCAGGAAGGTAAGGTGTGGGCCCCCAGTAGTTGAAAGCTTGACTTCTTGGAAGAACGAACAGTGGCTAAGTGTCTGGACTTTGGGGTCCTCTGAGTAGGTAGGTAAGTGGTAAACCTAGCAGTTGCCCTATGAATGTGGCAAGCAAGCAGGCAGGGAGGGCTCTTGCTGAAGAGGGAAGGCAGGGCAGGCTGGTGGTGTTTCAGAGTAGAGGCAACAAGACCCAACCATTGTGGGCTTAGAGAGCCAGCTAGGGAGCCCAGATGCCCCTGACAAGCTCCTTCATGACCCCAAGGTTAATGCTGCTGTTCATCTATGACCCCCTTTAGGCTGAAACTGAGGGCCTAGTACAGGGCCAAGGCTTGGTGGGCTTGTTCATTCTACCTCAGCTGTGGCTCTGACAATTAGGACTGGCACCAAGGGCTGTATAGAGATCATTGTCTTTCAGAACCAACACCATTATCCTTGTGGATGCAAATGGCCAGGTGACCTTCACAGAACGCAGCATGCTGGACAAGGATCCCTCCTGCTGGGAGACGAACACCTATGAGTTCATGCTACAGAGCTAACAGGGCTCCTGGGAGGCCTTGCCTCAAGGCCAGTGTGGACTAGAATCTTCATGGCCATACTGCACTGCCCATGACTCAGCCAGTGTCCTCCAGGCCCAGGGCCCTCTGATCTGTGTGTTACCTGTCCATGTCCCTGTACCTAGCTTAGGGCCTGCCTTTGTGCCAATGGTGAGTGACAGAGTCTGATGCTAGGGCTGGGAAGGCCCAGGTATGTCATACATTGAGAATGTACCTGGGTCTACCCTGCCTGTGTGCATAGGCATACACATACACATATAGGGCACGTGTTAACACATTTATTGTCATACACACGCACATGTGTACATGGATAGGTGCACACAAATGCACACGTGGGGTATGCAGGCAGAGGAGCACCTCTTACCACACATGGACTTCTAGCCAGTAGGTCTTTGCTCTGGTCAAGTGGCAGTGGTAAGCTTTTGTTTAAATGGGCCTTTTCTTTCCTGGGAGCACAGAGTACAACTGTAGTTCAGTTCCTGACAATCAGACCTCCTTCTGCAGAGGAGACAGGCCACATTTGGAACTTGGAGCACAAAGAAGACATAAGAAAAACCCATTTTCACAACTGAAGCACAGCCTTAGATATCCAGTGACCCTGCATGTGCCAGGGGTTCCTGTGTACATGGGGTAGTTTCATGTACACTGGATGGTTTTAGGATGGTGTAGGTATCCCACGTATCCTGGGAGGTTCTGTGTGCACCAGGGGTCCCATGCACACTGGTCATTCCCGCCAGGGAGGGCAAGTGAGCGTGTGCTGGGGACTTCTAGGCCCTTCCTTATCCGGGTGAGCATTGAGGGCTCTGAGCAGGCCTGTCTCAGCAAGGGGACTTAACTAACCCTTGCTGTCTCCCTTCTCCTTCTTGGAGAGTTGAGCTTCATAGGAGTCTGAACTTCTGTGAGCTATGGATAATAAAGCTTTGAGTCTGTGACGAGTGTGTTTCAAGGTCTTTACTTTGTGTGATGGTGATGAGAGGACCTGTGGTGGTACAGCTGCCTATATGAGGCTCTTTCTTCTTCCTTTTGTCTTCCATCATGATGAAGCCTGTGAGTCAGGTGGACCATCTGTTTGTGGGCAGAGGCTGGGGCACAAGGGAGCTTGTGTGTGTGGAAATTAGGTGCTGTTTACAGGGCAAATCACTTAATACAAGGGATTATTAAGAGGAATCCTGGGCCAGGGATTTAGCTCAGTGGTTTTGCCGCCTGCTGTGCAAGCACAAGGACCCGAGTTCGATTCCCAGTACCTAAAAAAAAAAAAAAAAAGGAATCCTGAGAGGGAGAGGCATGTGAATGGCAGGAAGAAGTCTGCCTTAGTCCTGGTACTCAGGAGCTGAAGTCCCCAGCCCTGGCCAAGCTTATGTCCCGCATATCTAATGCTCAGCCCAAGGCTTCCTTCTGCCTCTACAGTTGATCCCTGACTTGGCCATTCAGAACATAGCACCCAGAGCAATGTGCACAGAGTGGATATAGACCTGCACTGAGGTGTCCCAGCCTGTGTATGATGAATCGCTGGCTCATCTGGGGAGGAACAGAGGCCCATTTTCTCTGCCCCAGGCCTGTGAGGAAACTGCAGTCTCAAGTCCCACACATGTCTGGCAGAGTCAGGATGATGGGCTCCCACCTGGGGTTACTACCCTACTGCCAGCTTCCTCCATCTGCCTCAGTTGTCCACCCTATGTCCTATACCCTTGTTCTATGCCAGCACCCACCCTGACCAGGCACACTGCCCTCATGCAGAGCATCCCCAGATGTTTGCCTCTACTCTAGGACTGGACATGCCCAGGAAAGCTTTGTAAGTCTTGTCATGGGCCCCTCGGTTCCCAGCCTGCCTGGGGCTTCCCAGTGGTTTGGACCTCCTGAGGAATGGGCATCCCAAGATATAGATTGCATTGTTAGGGGTTGAGTTGTAAACCCCGCCCCCCCCCAAATATTTTAGCGTTTTAACCACCAGTATCTCAGAGGGTGACCGTATTTGGAGACAAGGTCATTCCAGAGATAAAATGGGTCCCTAGGCTAGGCCCTAATGCAACATGACCAATGTCCTTCTGTGAAAGGGAACTTGGAGGCAGGCACACACACAGAGACAACAGTGTCTGGAGTTCTGCTGCACCACCCAGGGATGAACTGGGTTCTGGGAGATAGGCTTGGATTGGAACCTCCCTAGAGCTATCAAAGGAGGCACAGTCATGACCTTGCTGCCAGCTGGATCTCAGACTTCCAGCCTGTAGAGTTGTGAGACAAGTCTGTTGTTGGCTAGGGATGTAGCTCAATGGTACAGCACTAGCCTAACATGATGAGAAGAGAGATAAGGAATGATTCTGGCTAAACTGACCAAACAAGATTATTGCCAAAGGCAAGCCAGGTGATCTGACATGGTGGGGGGCAGAAGAAATGAGGAACCTGATCAGGTAGCAAAGATGGGAGGGGGTTTTGCCAAACTGATTTAGCAAAGTTCTATGTTAAAAATGTATGTAGCTCAGTGGAAGAAAAACTGGATGTAGCTCAGTGGTAGACCGTTTGCCTAGCATGTGCAAGGCCCTGGTTGAATTCTCAGCACTGCAAAAACCAAGAACAAAACAAATAACCTAGAACATACAAGGAAGTCCACAAATAGGTCTAGGAGATTTCACAGAATACTGAGTCAAGAGGCTGTATTTGAAGTTTCCCAGTTGTCCCACTAATGTCCCTTTTCTGAGCCAAGATCCCATATTCAGGGTCTGAGTTCCACATTGCATTTAGATGATTCTCTTTTATTCACAGATGGCTCCACTGTCTTTAATGATATTGACACTTTTGAAAAAAAAAAAATGGCTGGGCCGGGGATTTAGCTCAGTGGTTTCGCCGCCTGCTGCGCAAGCGCAAGGACCTGAGTTCGATCCCCGGTACCACCCCCCCCCCCCAAAAAAACTGGCTGGTAACTTTACAGAATGCTCCTTTTGTTTTTGCTCTTTCTTCTATCAGGTTTTGCCTTTTTTGGGCAGAAATATCAATAAGTGAATATGCCCTCAGGAGGCCCATCGTATTACCGTCCATGTTTTTCACTTCTGTTGAGGCATAATATGCACTCTAACACATTTTTTTCTTGGTACCGGGGATTGAACTCGGGACCTTGCACTTGCGAGGCAGGCTTCGGCACCACTGAGCTAGATCCCTGGCCCTCTAACACATATTTAAAGTGTACAGTTTGCTAAGTTTGTACGTGCCTGGTTTGGCCCACTATTTTTTAAAGCACTAAAATAAAACACCCATAAGTTCTGTGTTCAGCAGCAATTACTGAGATGCCAGCCCAATGGGAAATCTAGATTCCCTCTACATTTATTGCCGAATGCTAATCTAAGAAAGCTGACTCTTCATTTACTCACATCATCCTTTTTTTGAGGCTCTGGATGTCGTATTAGCAAATGCAAAGTGCCAGACAGTTGAGCATGCTTGAGTTTTTAAAAGTGACTTGGGCCGGGGATTTGGCTCAGTGGTTTCGCCGCCTGCTGCGCAAGCTCAAGGACCCGAGTTCGATCCCCAGTACCAAAAAAATAAAATAAAATAAAAGTGACTGACCAACTAATGCTTTTAACTAGAGGCCGTGCAACACAGCGCGTCGGCAGCTCAGCTCCCGGCAGCCTTCGCGCTCGTGGTTTCCGGGATCCACCGCATCACACACTCCCCTACTCCCGGCATCCTCCGTGCTCCCTGCTCTCTCCCGGCTCTCCCCGCGGCCGCCGCACTCCGCGCGCCGACCCCGCCCCGGCGGCTTACCGTTAGCGCAGCCCAGGCTTCGGCGCCTGGTCCCGCCCGCGCAGCCTAGCTATTGGGCTGCGCGCAGCGGCCATGCGCGCCTCCCGTTGCCGATTGGCGGCCTCCGCAGCCCGCTCTGCGGCTCTTCCAATGTTGGTGGCTGCGCTTGGGGATTGGCCGCGCGCTGCAAAGGCCCGCCCTCCGCTCTCCCGGCGCGGCAGGCGGGTCCCGCCGACCGGAGAGCTTGGGGGCCTTGCCGGTGCGGCGGCGGCGAAGTGTTGAAGGTCTCTGCTTTGGTCGGGCAGCAGGCGGCTCGGGCAGGCCGCGGGCGCCGCAGGTAGGTGCGGGGCGCGAGGGGCGCCCCGCGGGCTGGAGGGCGGGCGCCCGCGGCCTGCGAGAAGGCGCGCCCTTCTCTCCCTTTCTCCCTCCCGGGCCAAGGATGTGGGCCCAGGCGAGGGGCGGGGCGGGGGCACGAGGCGGGCCAGGCCATGTGGTGTTCTGGCCTTTGTGAGGCAACGTGGCCGCGGGCAGCGGGCATCCCAGGAAGCAAAGAACATAGGGCAGGGGCCGGGTCCTGGGACCCGGCTGGAGGAGCTGGGGGGCGGGCCCCAGGTCCAGGTTTCGCCAGTGCTCGTGCTGTCCTCACGCCTGGTTGAGGAGACCACTCGCCCGGTGATCTGAAGCCGTAGCATCGCCTTCAGGCGGGAAAGGCATGAATGGAACAGTGCTCGGCCAGGATTCTGCCTGCTTTAACATAGTTTGGAAAATCTGAAAAATCGCTTAAATCTTCAAATACTCGCGGATTGAGTGTCACTTAGATAATCAGGATGTGGTTTTACGGTAACAATAAACGTGATAGAAATAAATGGAAGGTGGCAACCTGTTGACAGCGATACCTGTCAAGTATCATCCGATGGACTTGGGTTGCTCATGGTAGGAATTTGATTTCCCTTTGCATGCCTGCATGTACCTTGTTACCTGATGCATAGCAGTCCCATCTAGGGCTATCGACTATTGGAGGCCAATCACTTGGCAAGGGACCTCTGTTTGCTGGCCACAGACTGGAGTTTCAGTTATAGGAGTGCCTCAAACCCCACTGCAAGCCATCATTTATAAAAGGGACTGAATGACCAGTCAGGGATACAGAGTGAGTGCCACCTGTGAGTGCAGGATGTGAAGTCCTTGAGAGGATGACAAAAGGAATGGATGAGGTCATACTTCTGCTGTGTTGAGCGGGGAAAGCCTCAGGGAGATGCTTGAGTGAAAGACTACAGCCACAGTGCTGGACACCACAGCCAGTGCTTGATGCCTGCCCAGCAAGGAGACGCCAACCAAGGAGTGTGTTGGATTGGGTTTACTTGTGCTGAGGCCCAGGGAGCCTGCTGTGGGTGTGCTGTTGGCTCATAGTCCAGTTGGCAAGGCAAAGTTATATTCAATCAGCTGAAGCAGCAGTAGGACTGAAGAGTAGAGAATCACCCTTTGAGCTCTGCATGGCCAGGCACAGTTTAGAGGATTTTCCAAAGGTTATTTTATAAGTCTTACTGTAACCTTGAGATGGGAAAATGATTTTGACTGGTTTGCTCAGTTTTAGCCTTCTCTTTGTCATAGCTCCCTTCCCATGTGATCTCATACAGCCTATTGGGTTTAATGCCAACTTTTCTTGACATCTTTCAATTACCATCTTCATCTGCAGCTCTTGACCTCCCTTCTGAGCCTCACACTTCTAACTGCCTTTTCCACATCATCACATCTTATTTTCAGTGTGCGTGTGTGGGGGTGGAAGTTTGAGACAGGGTCTCACTATGTAGTTCAGAATGGCCTTGAACTCACTATGTAGCCTAGGCTGGCCTTCAACTCATAGCTATCCTCCTGTCTCAGCCTCTCAAGTGCTGAGATTATAGGCCTGTACCATCACACACAGCCATCACATATTACTTTGATGCCATCATGTGTTACTTTGATGCCAGGGAGCTGTGTCCAAATCAAACTTCAGTCCCCTTTCCACACCTTGTGCTTTTCTAAAGTCACCTCGATCCCTCTCTTTCTTACTCCTTCATGCATCCCTCAGGATACCCTGTCAGCTCATCTTTTGTTTCCAACAATTGTTTCTCTGCAGTTTGAATTGAATGTTGTGGTCTAAGTTACCTGGGGAGTGTCTTAATTCTCTTTGCTTTCACTTTTGGTCCCTCTTCCATCCACTTATAGTTTTTCTGGACACAAAATGTTTCTTTAAACCATAAGATAGTAGAAAACTGAGGCAGTGTAGATAGACTCAGGCTAGCTTGCCTGGATGACAGATGCACCACTTCCTAGCTGTGTCACTTGGAGCAAGTTGTTTAGTCTATGCTTAACCTTACTGTCTGTGCTGTATGAGAACTGGGTGACTTGGAGTGCATAAAGTGTTCTGACCACTGGCTGGCTGAGGGGTGAATTCTATCCTTGGATCATGTGATGTCACTGTTTAGATCCTCCTGTCCAGTGGCCCATCTGTCAAGATAAAAGCCAAAGGGCCAGAGATTTAGCTTAGTGCCATCGTGCCTGCCTCACAAGTGCAAGGTTGTGAGTTCAATTCCCAGTACCCAAAAACAAACAAAAAAGATAAAAGCCAAAGTCAGGCTGACCTGGTCTGTTGTCACTCTGTATACGGCCCTAGCGTGGCTACAGCACACTTCTGCTCCAGCACCTTTGCTTTTCCTCCAGGTGTCGCCAGGAATCTCCCCTCCTTCTATCCCTACTACCCACCTGGCTCCCTGCCTTCAGGGAGACAGTGGCTGTGAGGCCTTCTCTCACCACCGTTTTGAAATCTGCCTCCCCTTCCCCACCCCCTTCCTCACTTTGTTTTAGTTTGAACACTTCTCAGCATGTGACGTGATAGATGCTTTTGTTAGCTGTTACTTGTTCATCTTCACTGCTAAAATGTGAGCTCTGTGGGGCAGGGTTTTTGTCTGTCTTGTGTTTGCTGCATCTAGAATGGTGTGTATGTCTTGTGGAAGGCATTCAGCAAATACTTGTGAGTAGAGAAAGTATATAGATAGAGAGTAAGGAATTTGCCCAGTAGTACCCACCGCCGAGCCCAGAGGTTGGGCAGCTTTCCTTCTCCTCCAGGAGCACACTCCTTTCCCAGGGTTCAGGGGCCTCATGTTATCCGTCTTTTCAGGGCCCTTTTTTGGCCCTATTGTCATCTTTGTTTTGTGAGTTTAAGTTGGTTGTTTTCTTAGCTTTTCACATGCAGTCATGCCGCAGGCTTCCCCAATCCTGTACTGCCCTTTATCTCCAATCCCTAGCTCCTGGGTCTTCTTCAAACATTGACTGCCTAGTGTCTCTGCACACCTGCCAGGTTCTGGGAGTCTGGTCATGATCTTACTTGAAGTCTATAGCACTGAGTGTGGTCTTTCTTGGTTGCCAGGAAACCAGCCTTTACCCTTTTGGTGTCCTTCATGCCAGCCTAGCTGCAGCCTCTTTAGTGTAATGATTGCTGCTTTTCTCTGTCATTATCTCTGTTTATCTCTTTCTATCCTAACCACCTTTGATGGACACATTTTGGGGGAGTATTTTGTTAAATTCCTATTGAATTCGGAAACATTGGACCATCCTAGGATTTAAAAAATAGAATGACAGTATAGTGGTCATTGCCTTTCCAACTGTGTCTCTTTGTGATAGCATCTCCCTCAGAAGAGACAATCAGTGAATATTTAATTGAGTTAATTTAACCTGAACAAGTCTCTGGATTTTATGTTGTGTCCTCTTCAAAGTACAACTACCATCCTTTCTCTGTGAACTTCTTAAACAGATGTCTGCTGCCTCCTGTTTTTTCTGGGGTCTTCAGTATATGAGTTATATACATGATTGTTTACTTATTGAGCTGCCACCTGTGGGTGTGGCCTGTACCCATGTGTGTGTATCTACCCATGTGCATGATGGCATGTGCATGTGTGTTTGCGTGGTGTGGGAGTATATATGCATGTGTGTGTGTGTGCACGTGTGCATACATGCACGTGTGTGTGGGTGTGTCTGTCTACCTGCCTGCCTGCATGTGCTTCTGGTTTGCTGACGGTCGTCATAGGGACATTTGGGTTTTCTGGTTATTCCCTTTGACCTGGTTTTCCACCTTGTGTCATCTCTTTTCTGTGCTTCTTCAGTAGTGAAGCTTCCTAGAGTTGGCAACCTTCCCACTCTGGTCACTCTCCTCCTATGGTTTTGGCATTTATCTCCTTGTTAATGTGATCTGGCCAGCAGACCTTCCTGGGGTAGTCAGGGTTCCAGAGATGTGGCTTTGGCACCTGTCAGACCTGGAGCATCCCTCTATCCTCCTCTCTAGGCTCCTGCCTGGATTCTGGAATGTGTGTGTCCCTCCAAGGGAGAAGCTTCCCTCACCTCAGATTCCTCTTTTCTCTGCTATCCATCACATTAGGTCCACAAGTACAATCAGTTCTTGGTGTCTCCAGAGCCTCTTTCATACCTTTGTCCTCTGGCTTGGAGTACTTTACCCATAGAAGGGCACAGTTGTCTGTCACTGGCACAGCTGAGTCTTCTTTCTGATAACAGTTGCTTCATGCTTGGTAGTTTATTGGCCCCAGGATGGAGTTAGGCTCAAGGTATCCAAGACTCTGTATTTTGGCTCATACTTGCTTCTGCAGCATCCCCTAAAATTCTGGAAGGCTCCCTTCCCAACCAGCCACCTGCCCCTTTCCTCTATTGGTAACAGAACTATGCTGCCATCTCTCTGGTGACCTCAGCACGCTGCATCACTGTCCTGTCCACGTGGGCCCAGGAGAGGGGGTCCCTGGGTAGCAGAGTGCCTGGCCATATCTCTGAGGCCTCTAGTGCCTCAGAGTTGAGCTGAGGGTCTCATGCTTGCCCTCTGACTGACCCAACCCTTGCAGGTGAGTGGATCGATGTCGCTCTGATGGCCTGAGGGAAGCCATACACTTTGTGTGTCCCACTGCATGCTTGCTTACCTGATAGGCTGAGTTAGGGGAATGCTACAGTGAAGTTTTGTGTTTTTTTTGTTTTTTGTTTTTAATTCCCTTTGAGTCTTAAGATTGTTTTTGTGCTTCTGAAGTAGAAATTAAAGTGGACAGTTAATAAAATGTTTTAACTTGGAACTTCATTTATAATTTAGGTTCTAAAGAAAAACAGTTAAAAGTTTGTTCTGATATATAAAAGGTCCTTGTTGGCATTATTATTTTAAGCACTTTACTACGCTGTTAATAGTGCTTGACTCTTGGTACCAGGGAAGTGCAAAGTTACTGTCATTTTGTGATGATATTTTTAAATTTCTTTGCAGGTGGAAGAAGAGAGGTGCCACTTTGGCATGAAGACAGACTCACTTAGTCGTCAGTCTTTTAAGCTGAGTGCATTGTGATTTCCAATAATTGAGGCAGTGGTTCTAAAAGCTGTCTACATTAATGAAAAGAGCAATGTGGCCAGCTTGACTAAGCAGCCAGTGTGCACAGCGCGGGCAGGACGGCACCGGGTCTCGACGGACTTGTGCATGTTAGCTGTATAGATTTATGTAAGGTGTTTTAAAACTGGTCTTTTAAAATAGTCTTAACTGCTTTTAATATGGAAACGTATGAGAGTCCCTCTCCTCTCCCGCGTGAGCCCGCAGGAGAAGCGATGATGGAGAACCGAGCTTGCCCTTTCCAAGAGCTGCCCTGTGAACAGTCTCCACCACCTCCCCTGCAAACGTCCAGTGATGCAGAGGTAATGGACGTTGGCTCTGGTGGTGATGGACAGTCCGAATCCCCTGCCGAGGACCCATTCAACTTCTACGGAGCTTCTCTTCTCTCCAAAGGATCCTTCTCTAAGGGCCGCCTCCTCATAGACCCGAACTGTAGTGGCCACAGCCCGCGCACTGCCCGGCACGCACCTGCGGTCCGGAAGTTTTCCCCTGACCTTAAGTTGCTTAAGGATGTAAAGATTAGTGTGAGCTTTACTGAGAGCTGCAGGAGTAAGGACAGGAAGGTGCTGTACACAGGAGTGGAGCACGACACTCGGGCCGAATGCAGTCTGCTCCTTAGTCCTGTCAGTGGAGACGTGCATGCTTGTCCCTTTGGTGGGAGTGTTGGTAATGGGGTAGGCGTAGGGGGTGACAGTGCGGATAAGAAGGATGAGGAGAATGAGCTGGATCAGGAAAAGAGAGTGGAGTATGCAGTGCTCGATGAGTTAGAAGATTTTACTGACAATTTGGAGCTAGATGAAGAAGGAGCAGGCGGGTTCACCGCTAAAGCAATCGTTCAAAGAGACAGAGTGGATGAAGAGGCCTTGAATTTCTCCTATGAGGTATGTTGGCAACTCCTCTGTCTAGAGGGCTCTGAGCAAAATCCTAAGAAAAGTTTGGGAATGGTCTCATCTTTTGAAAGCAGAGTAATTTTTAAAAAGCCCAACCTCTTGTCTGGTTGAATAATTTTAATATTGAGAAGAGAAACATGTAAGGATTTTTAATGTTTCTAACTGAAAAGTTTGGCTGACATTTGGCCTCATATCCTCTTTCCAACTTGAGTTGGCAGGTATGCTGAGAGGTCTTTTTTGACGGGGTGTGTACCTGGACCAGGCGTGTTGATTTCACTTGTCATTTCATCCTGGTTTTTATTTTTGTTTTTTTTCAGATTATGTGCCATCAGGGCACACTGAGACTCCCTGAGCACCCCTTTTCTGAGCGCCTTTGTCTTCACTAATGTTAAACTTGCCCATGGTGCAGGAGTACAGCCTCTGGGGCCTGTGGGATCTGAACACTTTGTTTTGCAGGATGACTTTGACAATGATGTGGATGCTCTCTTGGAAGAAGGCCTTTGTGCTCCCAAGAAGAGGCGAATGGAGGAAAAATATGGTGGAGATAGTGACCATCCATCTGATGGAGAGACAAGTGTGCAGCCAATGATGACAAAGATTAAGACAGTGCTCAAAAGTAAGTCCAGGGTAACGAAATGGGGTTTCTAGGCATTGGAAATATAGTTGTGGCCATGCATGGTGGTGCATACTTATAATCCCAGCATTCTGGGAGGCTAAAGCAGGAAGATTGTGAGTTTGAGCCCAGCCTGGGCAACTTAATGACTTAACTGGACCCTGTCTCAAAATTTTATGAAGAGCTAGGGATGTGGCTTTGTATGAAGGCCCTGGCTTTAACCCCCAGAATTGAAAAAAGGGGAAGAAGGAAGGAGAGTGAAAAGAAAAGAAGTACAGAAAAGAAAAGAAGTACAGTTGTTTCTTCCACAGAAACCTTTTGAGAACACTCTGTTGCCAGGCATTGGTTTTGGTAGATACACATATTTGAATACATACAAGACAGTGATGCCTAATGAAAGGAAAACAAATAGGACCCAAGGATACACCCAGACATACAGCCCATGTACAGTACTATTCAGAGGACCTCTGAGGAGGAGACATTGATATATACTGAGAACCAAGACCAGCAGCCAGAGGACATGAAGGCCAAGGCCAAGGGTGGGTGCTCAGGTGGCAGGTAATAGTTGTGTTGTAGGTTTTGGTTCTCTATTAAGTGACACAGGAAGCCACTAAGAAATAGGTCAGTGTTGTTACTTGAATTTTGTTTAAAAGCATAGCTCTTGGTACCACAGCATAGTGTGTGTACTTTAGGTGGGTAGGATCGAAGATCTTTGGATAGAAGGGAGATGTTTTAGAGGTGCAGGCAGTTGAACTTTGATTTGGAGAGAGTGGGAGAGGAGTAGGGAAGTGCCCAGGGTTATGTTGCAAGGCTCTGTTAATATAGGGCACATATAGGATGAGTTGGAATGGGTTTCTGCCTGTACTTGCCTAGAGGTACTTGTTATTGTCCTGGTAGTGATGCCAGGATCAGTAGATGGGCTGAAAAAGTGGGTGGCTGTGGCTCCCCTCCTTGGGCCACGGAGGGGATGAGTTGCGGTGCCAGGTGCCACATGTTGCTGCCTGTGTTGGTGGTAGATAAGCAGAAAAGATTTGGGGATAGGCAGTCGCAGACCAACTGAACTTGGGGTGGGAGGCAGGACTGGTCTTCATCTTGGTGCCTCTGGAAGGTTACCTTTGTGTTCTTTTTATGGTTTCAGTAGTCTTGCTCAGTAGGTACATCTGTGTCCATCACGTGTAGCCCACAGGTCAGCAGTAGATCGGGCCTGCCTGCCCCCTGCTGTGAGCTCTTCAGATGCTGGACTGGCTATGACCCCTCACTGTCACAGATTAGCAGTTAGGGCAAACCTGTGTCCTGTCTTATGCTTGGCTCTGGGTTTCTTTTGTTTATTCTTTTGGGTTAACTCAGCTGGTGTGAGGCAGCTCTATCTTGGCTCAGCCCCTGGAGGTAGAGTCATGGGGTGCACTTCTGATAAGCATTACTCCCTTCTTGCCATCATCTGATATCAGACTGTTTGCAGGTGCTGATACCAGCTCGGCATTCAGGTGGGAACTGGCCAGAGGTGCCATTATCTTTCTCTGAGGGTCACTGGCACCTTTTTCATCATGTGTAGTGTTTTGTAGGTTTCACTTGCTTTTTTTCCATTGAGTTTCTAAATTTTATATTGCTCCCTATACCTGTAAAGGGCATTATTTTATTTCATTTTATTTTATTTTAATTTTTTTATGTTTTTGGTACCAGGGATCAAACTCAGGAGCTTTGGCTTGTGAGGCAGGTGCTGGAACCACCGAGCTAAATCCCCGGCCCTGGCATTATTTTATTTTTATTTTTATTTACTTTTTAGGGGCATTATTATAGTTAAGCATTTGCCTTTTACTTTTCCCAGCAATCAAGTCTATGAGTGGCAAGTAGATAAAAGAATCTGAAACTTTTTCTTACAATTGGTTGTGAAGTAAGGAAGGGGTTGAGAGCAGTATCTTAAAACCAATGTAGGAACTTATTAATTTGAAATAATCTTTTACTTCTATTTAATTATTCTTGGTGCTAAGAATTTAACCAGGCCCTCTGCATGCTAGGCAAGTGCTTTACGTCTGAGGTACACCCTCAGCCCTGAAGTTGTATGGTCCTCAGGAGCAGTGTCTGACAGACATGCAGTTTATTAGCAAAGTTCACCCCATCTCTGGGATGCCTATGGACAAACAGGCAGGAGAGAAGTCCAATGTCTGTAGTACTCACCAGAGGTAGACGCAAGACCTGGGGTGAGGACTTGTGTCGTATACAACCCTATTCTGGGCTCCTCATGTGATGGTTTTACCTAAGTTCCTACTTTATGCCACATGATATCCCAAGAGTGGGGATATATCAGGGAGCAAGGCAGACAGGGACTTAGATTCTCTAGAAAGACCCAGATAAGTACATAAACATGGAGCAGTTTGATGTGTGGAAGGTGCCATAGTGATAGTCTTAAGTGTTTTTAAAGTGATTGTAGGATGTTTTCTTTTGTGCAGGTCGTGGTCGCCCACCTACAGAGCCGCTGCCGGATGGATGGATCATGACCTTCCATAACTCTGGTGTCCCTGTGTACCTGCACAGAGAGTCTCGAGTGGTCACCTGGTCCAGGCCCTACTTCTTAGGAACAGGAAGCATTCGGGTAGGAGAGGCGACATTTTAGGCTTGTCAGTTCTCAGACAAAAACAAGCCCATCTGCACTTGTTGCACTGTAGCCAAATGGAGACGTATGAAAAGCCTCAGGTTTTCAGACTCTTGGGATCATCCTGGTAACCTCTGTTGCAATGTCACTGTCCACAGAAACACGACCCTCCTCTGAGTAGCATCCCTTGTCTACATTATAAGAAAATGAAGGACAATGAGGAACGGGAGCAAAGCATTGACTTCACTCTCAGTGGGGAAGTATCCCCCATCAAGCCCCTGAGCAGATCTGCAGAGCTGGAGTTCCCCTTGGAAGAGCCTGACTCTGGGGGTGCAGATTCCGGGCCCCCAGACGAGAAGGACCTTCTGGGGGCTGAGGCTGCCCCTGGGGCCCTGGGGCAGGTGAAAGCCAAAGTTGAGGTGTGCAAAGATGAGTCAGTTGGTAAGTTTTCCAAAGGACCTTTCTTCCCTTCCTGATTTCTGGGACCCAGCTGCTTCATTCCTACCCTGGAGTCTTGTTCCTCCTGCCAAAGGCCACTGTTCCTAGTTCCTAGTTGTATATGTAGAGAGAGCTGTGCTTGTCTACTCCTATATGGTTCAGAAAGCCTATCTTCCTACTCTTGCAAGTACCTGCCTGCATCTAGTACCCCTCGATCCTGTGCCTGGGCTCTGCAAAGCCTGTATGCCTAAGGCTGCAATGGAGACAGTTCTGGCAGTGCCAACTGGGCTTTCTGGTTGTTTGTGTGATCTTTCCTGAAGTCTTGCTTTTTCAGTACTATATGTGCTCATGTGGCACTGATTGGATTTGTGATCAGGGTGATCCTTCAGTCCATAGTTTTAGCACGGTGGAACTGCCACTGTTCTTTGGTGACAAATTTCTTTCAGCCCACCTGCTGGATTGCTTTCAAAGAGGACTTCCTGTTTTCAGGAATTATGCTTGTCAATATGTTGCTGCCCAGCCTATCTCATGACTCTCTTGAGTATAAGGTGCTTTGGAAGAGGTTTGGGGAGATGGGAACTAGTGCTGAGGAAGGGGAGGAGCCTGAGAAGAGGGGTGATAAGCGCAGAGGTCTCAAAGGAGGCAGGGAGCCCATTGGGTCTACTACTGAATGCAGAAGTATCAGCCCCAGAGGTAAGAGAGTGAGATAGCCATAGAGGTCCCAGACAGATGCTGTTGGCAGTTAGATGATTGACTGATTAATTGACTAACTGCAGTGCTGCGGAGTGAACTCAAGGCCTCTTGCAAGCTGTGCATGTGTTTTACCACTGAGCTATTCCTGAAACCTTGGATTGCTACAGAGAGAAGAGCCTGAAGACCATGGGGTTTTCAATTAAGTTTTTCTTTTTTGTGTGTCATTTTTTATATTCTTGCTCCAACTAGAATAAAAGAATATCCCACGAATCTATTCATAAAGTACTTGCCAGAATAATTTGAACTGCAGAGTAAAGGAACCTGATTCCTTGTTTTCCTTGGCCTTTGAAAGGGACAAGGAAAGGGAAACAGGTATCATGTGGCCTGGACCTGTTTGATAAGCCCTGTCCTCATCCTGCATATAGGGCTGAGGAAACATGATTCCTACATTGGAAAGTTAATTTGGTTCTTTGGTAACTCTTGGACAGATCTAGAGGAATTTCGGAACTACCTGGAGAAGCGTTTTGACTTTGAGCAGGTAACTGTGAAAAAATTCAGGACTTGGGCTGAGCGGCGGCAGTTCAACCGAGAGATGAAACGGAAGCAGGCAGAGTCGGAGAGGCCCATTCTTCCAGCCAACCAGAAGCTCATCACTTTATCTGTGCAAGATGCACCCACAAAGAAAGGTGATTTGGGCTTGTAAATGTCAACATCAGCAGGCTATGTTGTTATTTTTAATTTGATCCATTGAGAGCATATTGTTTTGTAAATTGTACTTAGTTTACAGTGGTGAGTCCTTAATGGGAACAGTGCCAGGTCCTAGAGTGCTACCTTGTAGCACCTCCTCATGTTGTTGCTGAGACAGTCCTTCTTGTTGCAGAGTTTGTCATTAATCCCAATGGGAAGTCTGAGGTGTGCATCCTGCACGAATACATGCAGCGTGTCCTCAAGGTCCGTCCTGTTTATAATTTCTTTGAATGTGGTAAGTTTGACCTTCCCCATTTCAGTTCTGAACCATGCATGTCACTTTGGTGTGAGCTGGGGAGGTGGGAGCTTATTGGCCCTACTCACTGAAATAGAAATGCAAGGGAAGGGAAAGAAGCATGTTGCAGATAGGCAGTTAATTTTCATGGAGTTGTGCACTTGTCTGAGGGTGAATGGCTTTGCATTCTCCTTGGAGTTTGTCTCATGTTGCTCCCCTTCTCCCCATCCCACTTTCTCTTGTCCCATTTTGTCTGCCTTGCTGGCCTGTGACCCTGCATTGTCAAGGTCAGCCTTGTGAGGAAGGCCTCCTTGCTGTGCGCTGGATTCTTTCCTGGTGTCCAAGTGGCCTCATGTAGATGAAGGGGCCTTGGGCTACACTTTTCTGCCATCCTGTCTTCCGTGGCATCCTCGCACATTTGTGAAGACTAGTTTGTCTCCCTTTGGGAATTGAAGCCTGAGGTTGCTCATTTTTGGGGGTATTGTTTCTCCAGATCACTGTATCCTATGCTTCCCCACTCCTGAGAGTCTTTTGTTCATTCTTCAGAGACCTTGTCCCTGTCTGGGTGGCTCTGCCTCCAGCTCCTGCTTCCCCTCTGGCTCACTCTCTTGGTCCCCCATTTCCCTAAGTTTCCCAGCTGTGGCTTTTGCTGCTGACTCCCCCTAGCCCTGTCTCCATACCTTAGGGAGCCCCCAGTCTTTGCAGACAAACACAGACTCACTCTCTGCAAGGGCATCTGTTGGTGTGGGCAGACTGTATGTGCACAAGCTTTTAATGTCTTGGCAAGTGTGTTTTAAAACAAGTAATTTTAATTTTAAGAGAACCCAAGTGAGCCTTTTGGTGCCTCCGTGACCATTGATGGTGTGACTTACGGATCGGGAACTGCAAGCAGCAAAAAACTTGCGAAGAATAAAGCTGGTAATGTGCTTGCTTGGGTGTCTCAGAGACATGTGTTGCCCGCTGGCTCTGCCTTGCCCCTTGGTTTGGTAGGGCAGCAGCAGCAGCAGGTTGGGGGAGTATGGGTGGGGCATATTCACTTTATTGTCTACTTTGATTTTTAACATTACATGCTTTATTGAAAAAGAAATTAAGAGGGGTCCAGGGATTTAGCTCAGTGGTTTCGCCACCTGCTGCGCAAGTGCAAGGACCCGAGTTCGATTTCCGGTACCCCCCCAAAAAAGAAATTAAGAGAGTCAAGAGTGAAACCTTAGAGTAGAAAGCCCCTCTGCTGAGTGCCAGCAGGACCATTGTCTCCTGTGTTTGACCCAGCTGTGCACAGATTCAGGTGTGCTCAGATTCAACTGGGCAGTGCTAGGTGCACTGTAGAGCAAGTTTGTTTTTAAACTAAACAAATGTGTCAGGCTGGGGATTTAGCTCAGTGGTTCCACCGCCTGCCTCCCAAGTGCAAGGTCCCGAGTTCGATCCCCAGTACCAAAAAAAAAAAAGAACAAATGTGTCTATATTAAGAGAGAGGAGAGGTGGATCGATGGGCTGTTGCTATTCTGCTCTAGTGATTTTGACATTTATGGGACTGTTTTCTGAGTCCTTCAGATTCCATATTGGGGACTAACCACTCATTATATAGCACAACTCACCTCTGGGAAAGCTAGTATTTTCTGGTTGAAACTCATTGCTCTTTTGGACCAGGTTCTTGCTCTTTGCTTCCACGCCCAGCCCAAATAATAGTTGGTATTCTTTCACCAAAGTCATTTTGCTTTGGCATTGGGGTTATTTGGTCTCTGCTGAGAAGTGGAGCACACAGCAGGGTGGTGTTGGGCATACACCCAGCCTTTGCACCCACAGGTACTTTCTTGAGTTTTCCATTTGGCACATTGTTTCCTAGAGCAGGTCTACCCTGTACAGAGTAGGAAGTATGTCAGTTAGATCATAGTCTCCTTGGGTCTTGGGGACAGTAAAAGTGTTTTCTACTCCTAGGAATCAGAATGTCCCTCTGTGTTGCTTTTGATGCAAATGCTGAGGATGATAGGAAACTTTTCTGCATTGTGTTGTCTGTCCTTCCCTCTGTTCATCTGTCTTGAGCTCACACGCTTCACAGCCACCTCAGATACCCAGGAAATGCCTGTTTTAGAGAGATTCTGCCTAAATGACTTTTTGAGTAGATACTGTGCAGAGTTGGGCCTGGTGTGCAGGTGGAAGCGTCCTGGACAGGGCCCAGGCTATTCCTTCTGTGCAGTCACCTGCTCTCCTACGGACTCTGTGATAGAAATCTACTTACTCTGCCCATATTCCAGCTGTTCTCTAGACAGTTGTATTGGTATGTCTTTTTTACTTATTTATTTCATGGGATGTCTTGCTGGGGTTAAAGATCTGCTGAGTCAGACAGGGCCATCAGCTGAAGGGCTGTCACACACACACACACACACACACACACACACACACACACACACACACACACACCCCAGTGGTGGGTAGCTGCCTTGTTTTCATGAGTGGCATCCTTGTGCTCTGCCCTGCACACACTCCTCCAGAGTGTCCCTCAGATCTTGATGCTTCTCCCTGCCCATGGCAACTACTGCCCCTGTGCCATCTGGACACCTGGAGAAGCCTGCTCTCAGGCCTCCTTTAGGGTCCAGATTCTGCCAAGCCATTTTTTTTTTTCTTTTACAAACTACCAAAATGATTTCTCTAAATCACAGATCTGAATTCCTCTCTTGCCTATGAAGACTTCAGGATAAAAGTGTATGTGCTCAGTGTAGCTTTTAGAGCTTCCCGTGGTTGGCTGCACTGTCTTGCTTCCTCAGGATGTGTTTTTTTCTTTTATCCTTTCTTGATCCTACCGCTGAAGTACTGCTGCTCCTTGGCCCTCACCATTCTGGGAATGGGAGCCATCACACAGCTCATTCTGCAAGCCAGGCAGCATGTCTGCCTTCTCTTTCAACCTGAACCCCAGGAAGATGTGCTGGTCCTTTACCTCAGACCTTTTCTTTTCATAGCCCGAGCCACACTGGAAATACTTATTCCGGACTTTGTTAAACAGACCTCTGAGGAGAAGCCCAAAGACAGTGAAGAACTGGAGGTGAGTGTCATGATCTTCCCCTGTTGTGAGCTGGGGCAACTCAGTAGCCACCCCACCGTGCTGGCCTGGCCTGATCTGGGGCTGTCTGCTGGCCATGCTTGTGTCTTCCATGCTGTATGCTAAGAATGTACTTATCCAGCCTCCAGGTTATGCTAATTTGTTTTTCTTTTTCTTTTTTCTTTTTCTTTCTCTTTCTCTCTGTCTCTCTCTCGCTGTCTCTCTCGCTCTCTGTCTCTCTCGCTCTCGCTACTAGGGTTTGAACACAGGGCCTTTTGCACTGGGCTATATCCCTAGACCTTTGTTTATTTTTTATTTTGAGACAGTCTTGCTAAGTTACCCAGGCTGGGCTCAAACTTGGGAACTTCCTGCCTCAGCCTCCCTGAATGTTGGGATTGCAGGCGTGTGCCACCACATCTAGCTATGGTTATATTTCATAAAAGAAGAAACTTAACTTGCTTTTGTACAAGCAGGGGAAAAATGTCCCCTTTTCTGGGAGATTTTTGTCATCTGTGTGTTTGCCTATGTTGAGTGTAAAACCAATCCGGTGAGAATGTGAAGCCGAGTCTACAAGATTTAGATTGTTCTTTATATTAAGAACTGTTTTAAATTATCTGTAAACCTTTTAGGGTAAATATGAGATTCTGTGATTATTTGTAGCAGCAGCTTTTCAGATTCTGAAGGATGCCTTTTTTTGTGACAGCTTCATTGAGATAACTTACCATAAAATTTGATTTTTAATTTGTACAACTCCAAAAAAAATTGTATAACTCCATGAATTTTGTATATTCAGTTATTCAAAAGGTTGCAGCTATCTTAATTTTAAAATATTTTCATCACTCTAAAAAGAAACCCCAAATTGATTAGCAGTTGCTTGCAGTTCTTTCCACATCCCAGACCTGGGCAACCACTAGTCTGCTTTCTGACTATATTTGCCAGTTCTGGACATTTCATATATGCAAATGGGATCATATAATGTGGTTTTTGTGACTGGCCTTCTTAGCATGCTGTGTTTTTAGCTGTGGATTTTTATCAGGTTGAGAAAGTTTCCTTCTATTCCCAAATTTTTTTGTTTGTCTGTTTTTTATTTTTTATTTATTTATTTTTGGTACAGGGTATCCAACTTGGGTCCTTGCGCTTACGAGGCAGGTGGTGGCACCACTGAGCTAAATCCCCGGTCAATTCCCAAATTTTTATTAGATATTAGATATGGGTATTGGATTTTGTCAAGTGATTTTTCTGCTTGTATTGAGATGATCATGTGGTTTTTGTCTTTTATATTGTTAACATGGTATATTATATTGATTTTGAATGTTAGGCCAACCTTGTATTCCTGGAATAAGTACCACCTGGTCATGGCTTATAATCATGTTTACATGTTACTGAACTTGATTTCCTAGTATTTTGTTAGGGATTTTTGCATCTATGTTTATAAGGGATATTGGCCTATAGTTTTCTTTTTTTGTGATGTCTGGTGCTGGTATCAGGCTGATACTGGCCTTAGAGATGAATTGGAAAGTGTCTCTTCCTCTCCTATTTTCTAGAATACTTTGTAAAGGATTAATATTTTTCAACTGTTTGCTAGAATTCACCCAGTGCAATGGTTGCATATATTTATTTATTTATGTTTTGTTTTGTTGTGTTTTTTCTTTTGGTACCGGGGATCAAACTCATGTCCTTGTGCTTGCGAGGCAGGTGCAGTGGCACTGAGCTAAATCCCTGACCCTTGTTGTGTTTTTTGAGACAGAGTCTCACTGTATAGTTGAGGCTGCCCTTGAATGCATGGTGATCCTGCTTCAGCCTTCCCAGTGCTGCTCAGGTGTACCATCATGCCTAGACAATGTTTAAAATTTTACTTATTTTTGAGGCCAGGGATTGAACCCAGGTCCTTGCACATGCTAACCAGGTGCTCTACCATTAAGCTATACTCCCAACCCCCAGTGAAACCTTTTGAGCTTAGGCTTTTCTTTGTTCAAAGTTAACTTAATTACTAAGTCAGTCATACTTCTTATATTTCTGTTCATGTATTCTGCTTTTACTGGGGTAGACAGTTCTAGATGTCTATTCCGTATTGATTTTCTTTTTTCTTTTTTTTTTTTTTGGTATCAGGGATCGAACTCAGGACCTTGCGCTTGCGAGGCAGGTGGCAGCACCACTGAGCTAAATTCCTGGCCTTCCTTATTGATTTTCTGCATAGTTGTTCTGTCCATTATTGAGTGTGGGATATTAAAGTCTCCTATTAATATTAGCGAATTGTCTGTTTCTCCCTTCAATTCTGTTCAGTTTTTGTCTAATGTATTTGGGGCAGTTGTTGGGAATATATATGTCTTTAATAGTTGTAACATCTTGATATATGATTCTTTTGTTACTGTAAAATATCTTTTTTTTTAACAATAGCAAAGTTTTATTAAGGTAGGAAAAGAAGCAGGCTCTGCAGAGAGAATTTGGGCAAAGAAAAGTAAGAAAAGAGGGTGGGCTGCCATACAAGAGAACACAATGGCCAAAATGTCCTTTATTTCTAACGACAATTTTTGCTTTAGAATTAATTTTGTGTGATGTATTCAATCCTCGGTACTAAACAAAAAGTATCTTGTTAGACAACATATAGTTAAATATTGTTTTTGTCCAGTCTGTCAATCTTTGCCTTTTTTTTTTTTTTTTTTGGTACCGGGGATTGAACTCAGGCCCTTGCGCTTGTGAGGCAGGCAGCGGAACCACTGAGCTAAATCCCCAGCCCAATCTTTGCCTTTTGATCATTATGTTTAGTCAATTTATATTTAATATAATTACTGAAAAGGTAGACTTCTAGGTATACCATTATACTATTTGTTTATGTCATCTTTTTTTTTTTCTCAATCTCTCCATTACTACCGTTTGTGTTACTTCTCAATGTACTGTTTTAATTCTTTTGCTTTTACTACTTCTTTTTTTGGATAGTTTCTTAGTCTAGTTCAAATAAGACTATTTTTAATTGCATACAAAATCTTTGCCCCTGTATATTTATTTCCCCCTCTTTTTTGCTATTGTCATGAATTATATATGAACATATTATGTGTCCATTAACATATATTTTCAATTATTGCTCTAGTTGTTTCAAGTTGTAGTATCTTTGCTATATTGCTCAGGCTGGCCTTGAACTCTTGGACTCAGGCAATCTTGTATTTCAGCCTGAAGCCCTTCATTATCTTATAGGGCAAGTCTTTTTTTTTTTTTTTTACACTCTATGGTTGCATGTATTTGTTTTTGGGTTTTTGTTTTCTTAAATTCTTTTATAGGTACATTTTAGGTATGCAGTACCTTTACATTTATCATTGGGAACTTGTACCTTTACATAATGTGTCTTGGTTCTTATTTTTTCCCCATTCCCGTGCCCTCCCTTCAACTTCTCCACCCTTCTCTATTTACAGAGTCTTTGTTTCCATTTTTCCCTTTTCTCATATTTTTTCCTTTCCCCTACCCCTCCCACTTTCCCTACCCCTTTGGACCTTTTCTTCCTATTTCACATTATCATTTATTCATTTTAATCCTTATTTACCCTTTCAGTTTCTCACACCAGAGAAACTATTCGGTATTTACACACATGTGTCCTATTTATTTCACTTAAGAGTATGGCCTCAGTGTGCATCCATTTATCTATAAATGTCTCTAGTTTCTCATTCTTTATGGCTGAGTAGTACTCCATTTTATATTTAAAAAAAAACCCACATCTTTATCCAGTCTCCAGTTGATGGGCATTTGGGCTGTTTCCAAGCTTTAGCTATTACAAACTGTGCTGCTATGAACATGGGTGCACATATATCACTGTGGTATGATTCTTTTAATTCTTTGGGGAAGATACCCAGCAGAGGAATAGCTGGGTCAAATGGGACCTCCAGTCCTAGTTCTTTGAGGTATCTCCATATTGAGTTTCACAGTGGTTGCACCAGTCTGCACTCCCAGCCAACAATGGAGAAGGGTTCCTTTCTCCCCACAACCCGGCCAGCATTTGTGATTGGATGATTTCTTCATAGCTGCCATTCTTTTTGGGGTGGATTCCCAGTGTTGTTTTCATCTGCATCTCTCGAATGACCAGTCATGTTGAACATTTTTTCATATGTTTATTTGGTGCTTTTCCTTCTTTGTCTGAGAAATGTCTGTTCATTTCAGATGCCCATTTTTGAATTGGGTCTTAAATTTGGGGAGTTGTCTGATTTTTTAAAGTTCTTTATATATTCTAGATAGTAGTCCTTTGTTTGAGGTACAGCTGCTAAAATTTTTTTCCCACATTGTAGGTTGTCTCTTAGCGCTATTGGTGGTTTCTTTTGCAGTGCAGAAGTTTTTTAATAAAGTGACATCCCAGTTGTTGATTCTTTGTGCTAGTTCCCGTGCTACTGAGGTTTTGTTTATAAAGTCTTTTCCTAGGCCAATATCTTTCTACTGAACTTAATTTCCCGGCAAGTTGAGTGTTTCTGTTTTAATATTTAGCTCTTTAATCCACTTTGATTTTAGTTTAGTGCATGGTGATAGATATGGGTCTAGTTTCAATCTTTGGCAGGTTGAAATCCAGTTTTTCCAACACCATTTATTAAATAGGCTATCTTTCCCTCAGTGAGGATGGTTGGCTCCTTTATCAAAGATAAGGTGGCTAAGTATGTCTGCAGTTGTTTCTGCATCTTCTAATCTATTCCACTGATCCTTGGGTCTGTTTCTTCGCCAGTACCATGCTGCTTTTATCACAGTGGCTTTGTAGTACTTTCAAGTTGGGGATTGTGATACCTGCTGTCATGTCTCTGTTGCCTAGAATTGCTTTTGCTGTTCTAGGTCTCTTCTGGTTCCAAATGAATTTTTGGATTGTTTTCCTCTAGTTCTGTGAAATATACTGTTGGGATTTCAATCGGGATTGCATTAAATCTATGTAGCAGTTTTGGAAGTATGCCCATTTTCACTATATTGGTTCTTCCTACCCAAGAACAAGTGATGTCTTTCCAATTTCTTGTATCCTCTTCTATATTTTTTCAGAGTGC